TCTGAGGTGCTGAGGACACAGGAAGTATGAGGTATTATCCCTTCCCTTGGGAGTTGTATCACTGGGTACTTAGCAAGTTGTGCTGGTTAGTACCCCTGACAGAGCAGCAGGTCGTCCAATCTGTGATCAGATGCTCACTTGTACAACACAGATTGTGTGTTCCAGGAGCTGGGAGAGATGAGAAATCAAGGAAGAGAGGCTTGAACTGGGCTTTGAAGTTCTACTGGGGAGGAGATACAAGAGCTAAGGGAAGTGAGGAGGGCATTCCAGGTCAGGATTGGCTATAACAAGACTTTTATTTTCTTAAACAATTGATTAATTAATTAGACTGGGTGGGATCTTTAGTTGCAGCATGTGTGATCTAGTTCCCTTGAACAGGGATTGAATCTACACTCCCTGTATTGGGAGTGTGGAGTCTTTACCACTGGACCCGCCAGGTGAATCTCATAAGGAGACTTTTAATCTGGTGACTAAAGCAGTGCCTGGCACCTAGTAGGTGCTGAGTTAAAAGTTTTTAGAAAGATTCTTTGAAAGAATTTTATTTCTACATGCATACTCTGCATGGTCAAGTTGCTTTAAAAGAGATGATCTTGGTGGACTTTTTTTTTTTTTTAGGTACAATTGACAAATATTTAAAGTTTGTATCAAGATGATTGGATGTATGTATGCATTGTGAAAGGATTGCCCCATCAAGTTAATTAACACATCCAGCCCTTCACGTGTGTAGCTTTTTTTGGTGACAGCATTTAAGTTCTACTCTTGTTTCATTTATACAAAACAGCATTATCAGTTGTCTACCATGTTATGCGGTAGATCCTCAGGACTTATTTATATTATAACTGAAAGTTCATACACTTTTACCAACTTCTGCCTATTTGCCCCACCCTGAAGCCCTTGGCAGTGACTTTCTACTGTATTTGATTGGTTCAGTTTTTTCTCTTTTTTTAAAGTTCGCCTGTGTGTGATACAATGCTGTATTTGTCTGTCTGGTTTATTTCACTTAGCATAAGGACCTCCATTTTCATCCATGTTGTCATAAATGGCAAGATTTCCTTTTGTGAGGACAAGTAATATTCGTGTGTGTGTGAGTGTGTGTATGTATACATATTATCCATTGACGGACACTTAAATTGTTTCCATTGTGTATTCTTGGCTCCTTTGGCAAGAATTAATTGGCCATAAATGCATGGATTTATTTCTGGGCTTTCTATTTCATTCATATACCTGTCCATTTCTATGCCAGTTCTATACTATTTTGATTAGTATACCTTTGTAATACAGTTTGGCATCAGGGGGCTTGATGCCTCCAGCTTTGTTCTTTCTCAAGATTGCTCTGGCTATTCAAGGCCTTTTGTGGTCCTGTACAAATTTCAGGATTGTTTTTCCTTTATCAGTGAAAAATGTCATTGGAATTTTGATAAGGATTGCATTGACTAGATCACTTTGGGTAGTTTGGACATTTTAACAACTTCTGTAATCCATGAGTACAGAAGTTTTGTGATTTCTTTTGTTAATGTCTTACAGTTTTCAGTGTATAGATCTTTCACCTCCTTGGTTAAATTTACCACTAAGTATTTTTTTCTTTTTGATGATATTGTAAATGGGATTGCTTTCTTAATTTCTTTTTCTGGTAGCTTATTCTTGGTGTTTGAAACACAACTGATTTTTGTAAGTTGGTTTTGTACCCTGCAACTCACTGAACTCACCTATTGGTTCCAATGGTGTTTTGGTGGAGTCTTTAGGGTTTTCTATTTATAATATCATTTTCAAATAGAGATAATTTTACTTCTTACTTCCTAATTTGAATGCCTTTTCTTTTTCTTGCATTAGTACTCTGGCTAGAAAGGATGAATTTCTTACCATAATGATGAATTTTGTCAAATGCTTTTTCTGCATCTATTGAGATCATATATTTTTATACTTCATTTTACTAATGTGGTATATCATATTGATTGATTGGCTTGTGTTGGACCATCCTGCTTCTCTGGAATAAATCCCAGTTGATCGTGGTATATGACCCTTTAAATGTATTGTTGAGTTCAGCTTGGTAATGTTTGCTTTTACATCTGTGTTCATCATGGATATTGGCCTATAATTTTCTTTTCTGGGTCTGCTTTTGTCCTTCTCTGGTTTTAGTGTCAAAACCTTGTAAAATGACTGTGGAAATGTTCCCTCCTCTTCTGTTTTTGAATAGTTTGAGAAGGATCAGTATTCATTTTACTTTAAATGTCTGGCAGAATTCACCAGTAAAGATATCTGGTCTTAGACTTTTGTTTGTTGGCAGGTCTTTGATTACTGCTTCCGTCTTTTTACTAGTAATTGATCTGTTCAGATTTCCTATGTCTACATGATTCAGTTTTGTTAGGTTGTCTGTTTCCAGGAATTTACCCATTTCTGAGGTTGTTGATATTTCTTCCTACAGTCTTGATTCCAGCTTGTGATTCATCCAGCCCAACATTTCACATGATGCACTCTACATATAAGTTAAATAAGCAGGGTGGCAGTATACAGCCTTGTTGTCCTCCTTTCCCAATTTTTAACCAGGCGTCTGTTCCCTGTAGTTCTGACTGCTGCTTCTTGCCTTGCATACAGCTTTCTCAGGAGACAGGTCAGGTGGGGTGGTCTGGTAGTCCCTGATGTTTATGTTTAGAATTCTGTTTTTAAATCTTCATTCTAGAGTTATAAGTGAACTACTTAGCCCCAATCAGTACTTGAATATCCTTCAGTTAAATTTTTCTATAAAGAAAGTGACCATGATTGAATGAATAGATTGGAAGTACTGCTCCTCCCTTTGATGTTAAAAGAAAATCTGACTTCCGGGCAGCATTAGTAGGAGTACAAATAGGACAAAGGGTTTTTGGAAGGCATTCCGCTTGGTAGTAATGGTAAAAATTTTAAATGAGTGCACACCTTTGATCTAAAAAACCCACTTATAGAAATTTACTTTAAAACCATATTTGCTCATGTTTTAAAAGATTAGATTAAATTGTTCATGGTATAACTATATATATTTTTAAATTTTTTAAATAAGTAAATGTACCTTTTGCTAATGTGCCCAGAACTAGTCTTAAGTGTTTTGCAACTATTGGTCTTAGAAGAATGCTTTGTAGTAGATTATGCTATATACATTGTCAGATTAATGCCATGGTGTTGATAAGGAAGCTGGCAGAGTTTAACGTGGCCGGAGTTGCATGCCCGCTAAATGAAAGAGCCTGCCGTGGAGCCCAGTCTGGCTCCGACGTCCTAACCACTGACAGTACAGGGGTTACAAAGAACTCGACAGACTCCGTGATGTCCTGTGCACGGGCGTGAGACCTCCAAACACAGGAACAGCGAAAAAGGCAAGTAAATGAGCCAGTGCACAGAGCAGATGCCATGCGTGAAAAAATCCACATGTACACACGTGTGTAAATACACAGCGGCGTACCCCAAACTGTTGTTGAGGGTTTGCCTCTAAGGAAAGGAGCATTTTCATGTTTTACTTCTATTACTGAGAATTGCATATTCCTCTTTTTTTTTAAAAAAAAAAAAGAAAAAAACCCATGAAGGTATTTTTAAGTAAAAGAGAGAGAGTCTGAGACATCTCAGTTAAGACAAGCCTTGGCAGTCCCCGCTTTCTTGACTTGGCCCACCAGTGAGTTGCTGCATTTACCAAGATCTCAGGGTGTTACATAGTGAAGAGCCTTCTGTTCTTTATCTCCTTATACTCCTGTTCTCTTTTGTCTTCGAGAGAGGCAGTGTAAGCCTATCATTTCTTTTTGTTACATTGAGCTGCTACATCTGTCTGCATTCTGCAGTATTTTATGATAATAAATGAGCTTCTTTTGTGTGTGTGTGTGTGTGTACATTCGGGTTGTAGTTTTGTGAAGGTCACTTTATTCTTAACTGGGCACATCTGTAAGAATGTAGATGTTTAGAAGGGTGGGAGGAAGCAGGTGGCATTCAACCTGGATGGTGCCTTGGGGTTGTTCACATGATCATGGTTTTAGTTAGCAGTTTTCATGAAAGACCTGATTCCCACGAGAAATGTAGATAATGATAGGTGGAAGGTTGGGAAGATTATCAGAGTAATCTAGAGAAAATCAAGGTAAGTTTGTTACCTAGTGAATTTTTTTTAAAGATCCTGTGGTGCTGCTGTTTGCTGGCAGGATATGGTAGTGAAAGTGACAGTGTTAGTTGCTCAGTTGTATCCAGTTCTTTGCTTCCCCATGAACTGTAGCCCACCAGGCTCCTCTGTCCATGCAGTTCTCCAGGCAAGAATACTGGAGTGGGTTGCCATTCCCTTCTCTAGGGGATCTCCTGACCCAGGGATTGAACCCAGGTCTCCTATGTTGCAGGCGGATTCTTTACCGTCTGAGCCTCCAAGGAAGCCCCAGGATATGGTAAACAGAGGTGAAAGGTTGCAATTGAGGTTAGAGGACCCCTGCCCAATCGTTAAATTATTCTTGGAAGTCTACATGATTGTGTCATTCTATCAGACAGAATTTAATATCTATTCTGTAAAATATACATTAGCCATCTAGCACCCTAGTTCATAATGTATATGGATGTCCTCAGAAAACCTCAATATTGTCTGTGAAAAGCAGTCTGAAATTCTTTTGAAAAATCATTCTCAAAAATGGTCTGTGTGGTAGCTTCTTAGCCCAGTGTGGAGATGTTTGGTCTTTGCGTCCCCCTCACCTTTATTTGTCATTTGTTAATTCTGATCTGAGGCAGACTTATTAACAGTCATCATTTCATTGATCACTAGTAGACTGCAAGCTCCTCGAAGCCAAGGAAGAATGTCTGGGGCAGTCTTTGTATTTCTTCAAGGCCTAGGACAGTATATTCCACATGGTTAGATGATCTGGGAAGACTTAGGAAACTGAACTAATACTAATTAAATTTCGTGGTTGCTGTTTTCTGTGACTTTCTTTCCAGGAACATGTTATGTCGAGACGGCAGCATGTAGGTTTACTGTGTATTTTGGACATCACAGTTCCCATTTTCTTATTCACTAGGAACTCTCCAAGATCACCATGCCAGTTATATTTAACGAGCCTTTGAGCTTCCTCCAGCGACTCACTGAGTATATGGAGCATACATACCTCATCCACAAGGCCAGTTCGTTTGCTGATCCTGTGGAAAGGATGCAGGTACGTGTCAGCAAGCTCTGGGAAAGACTGAAGTCTTGGAAGGTCTTCTCTGCTCCCTCCCCGACCTCTCTGCCCCCAGCCTACAACGCACAGAATTCATGTTAAGTTTAATGTGAGGTTAGGAAATGTTATTAATGCATTGCATGTTTGGAGTGTCATCTGTGTTCCTTCCCAGACCAATGAGGATTGAAAGAAAGCAAAAAGTTCCAAAACCAAACCTGAGTTTGGTGAGCTGCTTCTGAGTCATTGTTTTAGAAAGTGGCATTGTGTTGGGGGGAAGACAATTCAGCCTTTCAGGCTTCTCAAGAGTGTTTCTCGGAAGACATGTATATACATACACATATAAATAAGTGTATTTATGCTTATGTGTATATATAAATATACACATACTACCATAGGTTAAAAAAGAGGACAAGAAGGAATTGTACTTCTTGATTTTTTTTGGAAGGGAGATATTCATGTGATGTATATGGATGGACTAGACACAGGGAGTGTGGATACATTGTTCTCCTTCCAACAAAGCAGTAGCATTCTAAATGGAGTCTTGTGTCCTTTCATGTATGTAAAGCAGCTTTTCCCAACATCATTGGACTTGATACCAGTTTGTTTGGTTTTCTCTCTTCACCCCATTCTAAAAGGGATGTGAAAGTGTTAGGCACTCAGTCATGGCTGACTCTCTGCGTTCCAGTGGACTGTGACCTGCCAGGCTCCTCTGTCCAAGGGAGTTCCCAGACAGGAATACTGGAGCGGGTTGCCATTCCCTTCTCCAGGGGATCTTCTCGATCCAGGGATCAAACCTGAGTGTCCTGCATTGCAGGCAGATTCTTTACCATCTGGTGATGTACTTTTTAGAAATTTTAAAGGAATTAAAAGTAATGTTGGATTTGAGAGTCTTTTTTTAAAGTCCTTGAGAGTATTTGTAACACTGTGAGTATATTATAAAAACCACAGTTGGGATGACTTTATAGGAAGAGACTCAAGAGTCATTTTCATTCTGAATATCCACAGTGGCTTATTAGTTTGCTTATTAAGCCATCTTAAAAATACAACATAATTAAACTCCTCAGAATCATTTTGTAAATTACTGTCTTCAGCAAAATTTCAGTTCCTGAAAGGATGAGGACCAGCGAGGCTATTTTTAACTTGTGCTGACGCTCTGTCCCGCAGTGTGTAGCTGCATTTGCTGTCTCCGCTGTTGCTTCTCAGTGGGAACGCACTGGCAAGCCTTTCAACCCACTTCTGGGAGAGACTTATGAATTAGTGCGGTAAGATCTTCCACTCTATTCCAGGCAGATAGTTGAATTTGCATGATTTATATAGCTCTTCAAATGAAAATGGGTATTTTTTGAGCATTCACCAACATTCTGTATGACTGGAGAAAAGGTAACAGCTTTGATGTTTGTTTCTGTGATAGTTGTTATTTTAAAGACTGTCAAAAATATGAAAACATATATAAAATGGACCATTATTAAAAGTAAATACAAGAATTTCATTATTCCTGATCTTGCAGGATTAGCTATCATCCTTTCTAGTTATGTATCCATTAGATAGGATAGATTTTTTAAAAATAACTGCATAAAATATATTAGCATGAACTTAGATTGTTGGCATAGAGGCAGTGACTGTATCTAAGGGTGCACTACTGCCTGCCTGCTGTCGCTTACTTCTTTACACACAGTTAGAGAATTCATTTGGCTTTTGTTTTTCTGAATCTTTCTCTTCCATCCATAAGTTTTGATCTCATTTATTCCCTAGGTGTTTGAAAAGGAGATGCTTTAGATTCTTCTGTCTTAGTATAAATGGGATAATAAGTTTTAAATTTACATGGCTAGTATCGCCAATTGATGAAAATCACTGCAGTTCATGGGTGTTCCTTATTTTAATGTGTTTTAAGTAGCTCGATGTATAATAACATTGGTTTTAGTTGTTTGGGATGCATTTTTGCAGTTTCTCATGTATTGTCCTTTTCATCAGGATGATAACAAAGAATTGTTTAGTTTGTCAAATCCATTTCCTTAATACTTTAACATTGCTTTTAAAAAGATTTACTTTGAATTGGAGCATAGTTGCTTTACAGTGTTGTGTTGGTTTCTGGTGTACAACAACATGAATCAGCTATAAGTACACCTATATCCCCTCCCTCTCACCCCCACACCCCCCTTCCCGCCTCTCATCACAGAGCACCACGCTGAGCCCTCTCTGCTAGACAGCAGCTTCTGATGGATATTTTACACGTGGTGGGATATATATTAACATTGCTTTCAGACTGAAATGACAATAATGTATATATTTTGTGGTGAGTTTATTCTAACACTACCTTTCTTTTTTTTTTTTTTTTAATCTTAAGAGATGACCTTGGCTTCAGACTCATCTCTGAGCAGGTCAGCCATCACCCACCCATTAGTGCATTTCATGCTGAAGGATTAAACAATGATTTCATCTTTCATGGCTCAATCTATCCCAAACTGAAGTTCTGGGGGAAGAGCGTAGAAGCAGAGCCCAAAGGAACCATCACGTTGGAGCTTCTTGAGTGAGTTGGAATCATACCTTTTACTCTTTCTCTGTGTACCTACTCATTAGTATATACATACACTTGCATGCAGACCTGACCTTGTTTGAAAGCTGGAGAAAACGAAGCTGCTTTTATAAGATGTCAATTTCCTACATCATGTAAAAGAATTTGAGAAATGTGGCAACAGCCATGGTTAATCAGCCTAGGTATGTGTAAACAGTTTAACTTGATATATGATGGTGGTTTTGTTTAGATCTATTTTAAGATTAAATGGAGTTAATCACTCCATGATATTATCATGGTAATAATGCCTTGTTTAATCATCTTTTACAATGAATTCACTTTGAGAAATATTGAAATATACAGTCACATTGGCACATCTTAGACATTAGGTAAGTTGAAAGTTCTCTTCTTTTGCAGTAGAAGAAAGATTGCCATGAAATCTCTCTCCATTTATTTGTGTCATCTTCAATTTTGTTCATTACCGTCTTACCATTTTCAATATAAAAGTCTTTCACCTCTTTGCTTAAATTTATTTCTAGGTTTTTTTCTTAATGCAGTTGTAAGTAAAATTGTTAATTCTGTGCTCATGGATTAAAAAAATACTGTTAAACTGTCATACTATCCAAAGCAGTGTACAGATTCAGTGCAGTCTCTATCAAAATTCCAATAACATTTTTTGCACAAATTAATGCAGACAGTGCCACAGTTTATATGGGATCACGGAAGACCCCAAATAGGCGAAGCAGTCTTGAGAAAGAAGAACTAAGCTGGAGGCATCATTCTCCCTGATTTCAAACTGTATTACAAAGCTATAGTAATTAAAATATATGACATTGGCATTAAAACAGATATATAAAACAATGGAACAGAGTAGAGAGCCCCAAAAATAAGTCCACGCAAGTAGGGTCAATTATTTTAAACAAAGGAGGCAAGAACATACAATGGAATGACAGTCTTCTCAATAAATGGTGTTGGAGAAATTGGACAGGCAACATGCAAAAGAATGGAACTGGACCACTATTTTATACTATACACACAATTGACTCAAAGTGGATTACAAACTTGAACGTAAGACTGAAAATCATAAAATTTCTAGAAGAAAGCATAGGTGGTAGACTCCTTGATATAGGTCTTGGCAATGATATTTTGAATCTGACACCAAAAAGAATAAAAACAAAAATACACAAGTGGGACTATGTCACATTAAAAGTCTTCTGCACAGTAAAGAAAAGCATCAACAAAATGAAAATGCAGTCTACTGAATAGGAGAAAATACTTGCAAATCATATAGGCTAACATCCAAAATACACAAAGAACTCATACCACTCAATAGCAAAAGAAAAAAAAGTAATTAAAAAATGGGCAGAAGATCTGAATGGACATTTTTTCAAAGAAGACATACAGATGATCAAGATGATCAACAGGTAAATGAAAAGATACTATACATCATTAATCAAGAGAATGCAAATCAGACCACAATGAAAGGGAACCCTTGTGCCTGGTTGGCAGATGTAAATTGGTTCAGTCTCAGTGGAAAATAATTTGGAAGTTCCTCAAAAAATTAAAAGTAGAACTACCATGATCCAGCAATTCCATTTTGGAATACTTAGCCAAAGAAAACAAAAATATTATCTCAAAAAGATGTCTGCACTCCCATGACATTATTATACATGTTATAACTGTATAATATATTAATATGTTATATATATATACCTGTTCCACACAACAGTCAAGATATGGAAATAACCCAAGTATCCATCATTGGATGAATGGATAATGAAATTGTGGTACACACACATACACAGATATTATTCAGCCATAAAAAAGAATGAAATCTTGCCACTTGCAACAATGTAGTTGGACCTTGAGGACATTATGCTAAGTGAAATAAGTCAGAGAAAGACAAATACTCTATGATCTTCTTATATGAGAAAAAGAAGGAGAAAAAATAAACAGACTTTAATCATAGAGTGATTCAGATATTGAAATTTGTATCAAAGATTTTAAAGCAGATGTTATAACTATACTCCATGACATAAAGATAAACACTCTTTTTTTTTTTTCATTTATTTTTATTAGTTGGAGGCTAATTACTTTTACATCATTGCAGTGGGTTTTGTCATACATTGAAATGAATTAGCCATGGATAAGATAAACACTCTTAAAATGAATAGAAAGACATTGAAGTATTTCTGGAAATTTTAGTACTGAAAAAATGCAATAACAAATGTAATAGCTGGGATAGACTCAATTGCAGAATAAAGATAATAAAATATGTACAGGATCCACAGGCTGAAAGCTATAAAACCCTGGTTACAGGAATCAAAGACTATCTGAGTAATGGAGAGTCTACCATGTCTCACTATACTTGGAATCCTTAATGTAATTCATATGTTTATTCTCCTTTAATTGATCTATAAACAGTGTGTATTAACACAATCCAAATTTAAAAGTCCCAGGATGAATTTTAGTAGATCAAGAGATAGTGGATCCTAAAATTTATATGGAAAGATGAATGAAACACTGTAGCCAAAATAGTTTTGAGAAGGAAGGAAGAACAGAATGATGGACTCCTGCCTCCTAATCTTAAGACTTTACAGTGAAGCTGTTGCCATCAAGACTGTTGTATTGACAGAAAGATAGACACATACCTCGGTGGAACAGAGAACAGCATCTAGAAACCGACCCACAGAAACACGGTCAGTTGATTTTTCATGAAGGTGAAAGAAAGCACTGTTCAGTAATGAAGGGTAGTCCTCTCTACAGATGGTGTGAGAACAGTTGGACATGCATGTATTAAAAAATGAACCTCAACTTACACCTCACACCCTAAGCAAAAATGATCCCAACATAGATCATAGGCTAAAATCTAATGTACAGCTTTAAGCTTTTGGAAGAAAACAGGAGAAAATGTTTATGACTTTGGGTTATGCAATGACGTCTTATAACACCAAAGGACAATCTAGAAGAGACAAAATTGGTAAATTAGATTTTATAAAACTCTATTGCTCGGTGAAAAACACTCTTAAGAGAACAAAGAGAGAAGTTAGAGATGGATAAACATTATTTGTGAATCATTTATCAATAAAGGACTTGTATCTATAATATATAAAGCATTCTCAAAACAGTAAGAAAACAGACAACCCAGTAAGAAATTGGACAAAAGATGTGAATAGATACTTTACCAAAGAGATATATGAATGACAAATGAGCACACAAAAACATGCTCAACAGCATCAGTCATTAGAGAAATGCAAAATTAAAATCACAGTGAGATACCACTACACACCTATCAGAATGTCTAAAATCAAAATTTTTAGAGCTGACAGTATCAAGTGCTGACTAGGGTACAGAGCAACCAGAAATCTCATGTATCACTGGGGGATCTGGTAAAACAGCAGAGCCACCCTGGCGAACAGTCTGGCTGTTTCTTACAGAGCTGACCTTGTGTTAACCAGATGATTCAGCAGTCCACTCGTAGGCATTTACTCTTTAGAAATAAAGAGGTGTATTTTCACAAAGACCCGTGCCCAGATGTTTATAGGAGTGTTACTTACAATCACCAAAAACTGAAAGCAACCCAGCATGCTTCAGTGAGTAAAGGGTTAAACTGTGATACATTCATATAGTAGAATACTACTCAGAAATAAGAACAAATTATTGTTACGTAGAATTTAAAATGCATTATACAAATGAAGCTAATCTCAAAGGGTGACATGGTGCATTATCCCATTTATATGACACTCTGGAAAAGGCAAAACTATTGCAATGGAGAACAGATGAGTTGTTTAGGAATTCCAGGTGGGGGGAGGTTTGACCATAGAGGGGCAGCATGAGTGAATTTGTGGAGGGAGTGATGGAATTTGTGGTTGTGGTACTAGTTACAATGATCTACACATGCACTGAAGCTCACAGAACTAGGTAACACCAAGAAAAGTGAATTTTACTGCTTGTGAATTAAAAATACATTTAAGCATACATGTATGAAGATGTAAAATGAATGTTTCAAAAGCAAAGAATGTGTAAAATTGGAACTTATTCACATACCCAAGTTTTTCCCTTTCGTAAGCTGGAAAGTACCAGATAGATCATTTTTCTTTCCTACCTCTAATTTAATATGTTTTCACCAAATTTTTGAAGGCTTAAAATGATTATGTACATAGTTTAATTTGGAGTTTGGTAGAAACATAGTTTTGTTTTGTGTGTTTTTTTTTTAAGTTTCTGCATCAGGTCCCATCACTGCATGGGAAATAGATGGGGGAACAGTGGAAACGGTGTCAGACTTTATTTTTTTGGACTCCAAAATCACTGCAGATGGTGACTGCAGCCATGAAATTAAAAGACGCTTACTCCTTGGAAGGAAAGTTATGACCAACCTAGATAGCATATTAAAAAGCAGAGACATTACTTTGCCAACAAAGGTCCGTCTGGTCAAGGCTATGGTTTTTCCAGTGGTCATGTATGGATGTGAGAGTTGGACTGTGAAGAAAGCTGAGCACCGAAGAACTGATGCTTTTGAACTGTGGTGTTGGAGAAGACTCTTGAGAGTCCCTTGGACTATGAGGAGATCCAACCAGTCCATCCTAAAGGAGATCAGTCCTGGATGTTCATTGGAAGGACTGATGTTGAAGCTGAAACTCCAGTACTTTGGCCACCTCATGCAAAGAGTTGGCTCGTTGGAAAAGACCCTAATTCTGGGAGGGATTGGGGGCAGGAGGAGAAGGGGACGACAGAGGATGAGATGGCTGGATGGCATCACCGACTCAATGGACTTGAGTTTGGGTAAACTCCAGGAGTTGGTGATGGACAGGGAGGCCTGGCGTGCTGCGATTCATGGGGTTGCAAAGAGTCAGACACGACTGAGCGACGAACTGAACTGAAGAAACAATAAGAATTAACCAGATGAACCTATTTTACTGGGATTAACATCAGCAGTTTTTATAGTCTTAGAGTTGAGTGCTCTCCAGCAGTCTGATAGGTTATCCTGAGTCATGGCATTTGAGGAAGATGTGCTTTTTAAACAGTAACACCTCTCACTTCTTTGTCTGGGCTTTGGCTTTCTTTTTGTTTTCTAGACACAATGAAGCGTATACGTGGACGAATCCTACCTGCTGTGTGCACAACATCATCGTGGGAAAGCTCTGGATTGAGCAATACGGGAACGTGGAGATCACAAACCACAAGTGAGATGGTTCATCATCCTTCCCGTCCCTTCATTTGCATCAGAGGGGTCCAGTAGTCTTTCTGTAGAAGTTCTAGTTACAGAACATTCCTGGCGGCCCAGTGGTTAAGACTTCGCACTTCCCATGAAGGGGGCCTGGGTTTGATCCCTGGTCCGGGAATGTAGTTCCCACATGCCATGTGGTGTGACCAAAAAAAAGTGCATTGCATTGTAAGGAGTTTCCTGGCGGTCCAGTGGTTAAGACTTCACACTCTCACTGTGGAAGGCCTGGGTTCAATCCCTGATTGAGGAACTTAGATTCCACAAGCTATGCAGCTCGGCCAAGAATATATGTATAAAGCATTTTTAAAAGTTCTGTATATATGGATAAATTTTTAAAAAAATTCTAGTAGAATCTAATGACAACTTAAGAACCAGGTAGTATAACACTGTGGTAAATAGAAGCCAGTTCATTTAATGAACAGAATTTAGTAGTTGTGGCTTCCAGGCTAAGTTGTCCCAATGACATGTAGAATATTCAGGACCAGGGATTGAACCCATGTCCCCTTCCTTGGATTCTGAATTACTGGACTGCCAGGGAAGTCCTGAATAGAGTTTATATTTAAGTCTCTGATTATGGAAGACTGGTGAACTCACAGCTTCGGCAGCCTCAGAGAATCTTCATTCCTGCCTCCCTCAGCTCACCTTGCTGACACCGTTTAGCTTGTATTGTTCACATGGGGGCAGGCGACAGGAGGAACAGGAGAGTTGGAAAAAGGTGTATTCAAATCCTGCTGTGACCCTAGGCCCATATCCTAGTCAGCTCGGGCTATGGTGACAGAACACGGTGGGCCGGGTGGCTTCAAGGGCAGACATTTATTTCTCATGCTTCTGGAGACTTAGGAGGCCCAGGTCAGGGTGATGGCCAATTCAGTGCTGGGTGAAGGCCCTCTTCCTGGTTTGAAGTTGGCCATCTTCTAAATCTTTGCATGGCAGAGAGAGGGATCATCTCCCCAAAGTCTCTTATTCAAAGAGCATGCATCCATTCATGAGGGTTTCACCCTTAGAACCGGATTACCCCCAAATAGCATGGGTGAGGAGGCTTCACCATATGAATTGGGATGGGGGGCAGGCAGACATTGATTCCATAGCAGCAAGTCACTTATTTTTTATGAACCTTGCTTACTTTTTCTTTGTGGTGGGTTCAGTACTGATTGTGGATTAATTGTGACACTCTGTGTGGAGCCTGGTGTGAGTTAGAAAATCAGTAAACAGCAGGTGCTGCCAGACAGGTTATTGCAGTCACTGTTCTCTGCTGCTGCTTCCGTGTTGAACAATAACCCGAGCTCACTGTCTCCTTTACAGGACTGGGGACAAATGTGTGTTGAATTTTAAGCCGTGCGGCCTTTTTGGTAAAGAATTACACAAAGTTGAAGGCTACATTCAAGATAAAAGGTAAAGTTTCATTTTAAATGTTGACTAGTATAGGTGTTGTTCACTAAGTAAAGTGTTGTTATTAAAATCTGCCAACACCAGGAATTCCCTGGTGGTCCAGTGGTTAAAACTGCATCCTTCCACTGCAGGAGGCACAGGTTTGATCCTTGGTTGGGAAACTTAAGATCCCACATGTTGCGTGGTTCGGCCAAAAAATTTTAAAAAGAAGAAAAAGAAAATCTGCTGTTATCTCAGTTCAGTCACACAGTTGTGTCTGCCTCTTTGCGATCCCATGGACTGCAGCACACCAGGCTTCCCTGTCTATCACCAACTCCTGGAGCTTGCTCAAACTTATCGAATCAGTGATGCCATCCAACCGTCTCATCCTCTGTTGTCCCCTTCTCCTCTTGCCCTCAATCTTTCCCAGCATCAGGGTCTTTTCCTATGAGTCTGTTCTTCGCATCAGGTGGCCAGAGTATTGGATCTTCAGCTTCAGTCCTTCCAATGAATATTCAGGACTGATTTCCTTTAGGATTGACTGGTTTGATCTCCTTGCAGTCCAGGGGACTCTCAGGAATCTTCTCCAACACCACAGTTAAAAAGCATCAGTTCTTCGGTGCTCAGCTTACTTTGTAGTCCAGCTCTCACATCCATACATGACTACTGGAAAAACCATAGCTTTGACTAGACAGACCTTTGTCAGCAAAGTAATGTCTCTGCTTTTTAACATGCTGTCTAGGTTTCCTGCTGTTATCTAGGAAACAGCATTTCAGTAAATTGAAAAACTCTTCTGAAAGAAATATCTATTTCTTTAAAGAATCTGATTTGTAAGTATCTTTATTTATGAAAAGAGAGGCTTCCTTGATGGCTCAGACTGTAAAGAATCTTCCTGCAATGCAGGAGACTCAGATTCTATCCTTGGGTCTGGAAGATCCCCTGGAGAAGGACATGGCTACCCACTCCACTCTTGCCTGGAGAATTCCATGGAGCCTGGTGGGCTACAGTCCATGGGGTTGCAAAGAGCTGGACACGACTGAGTGACCAATACTTTCAGTTTATGATAATATTCAGTTACACCAAGACACTGGTTTAATTGTTGGCTCAACATCGATTTCTCTTGACAGCAAAAAGAAGCTCTGTGCTCTCTACGGGAAATGGACAGAATGTTTGTACAGTGTTGACCCAGCCACATTTGATGCTTACAAAAAAAATGATAAGAAAAATACTGAAGAGAAGAAGAATAGCAAACAGGTAAACAATCCCAGAAGATGGAATTGAGGGGATCCCTGGATGGTGGCCTGTTAGTGGGTCACAGTGTTACCTTTTAGACTTGGTGCCCATGCATGTGATGTTTTTCCTTGACCTTTTTTTTTTTCTTAATTTTATTTTTATTACTGTTTTTAACACCAAAAACATTTTGTATTGGGGTAGAGCCAATTGGAGACCCCAGTTGGATTCCTGGGTCAGGAAAATACGCTGGAGAAGGGATAGGCTACCCACTCCAGTATTCTTGGACTCTCCTGTGGCTGAGACAGTAAAGAATGTGCCTGCAATGTAGGAAACCTGGGTTCGATCCCTGGGTTAGGAAGACCCTCTGGAGAAGGGAACAGCTATCCACTCCAGTATTCTGGCCTGGAGAATCCCTGTGGACAGAGGAGCCTGGCAGGCTACAGTCCATGGGGTTGCAAAGAGTCAGACACGACTGAGTGACTTTCATACAGCCGATTAACAGTGGTGTGACAGTTTCAGATGAACAGCAAAGGGATTCTTGCATACATATACATGTATCTCTTCTCCCCTGAACCCCTCTCCCATCATGGCTGGCACATAACATTGAGCAGAGTTCCATGTGCTATACAGTAATGAACAGGTGATCTGACTTGCTAGTGAATGTTTGGGATCATCTCCCATGGAGTATGGGTGTGTGCTATGCAGTTACACACACGGTGTTGAATTCACATCGCTTTAGAAAGTTGGAGTTCATCTTAGTGAGACAAATATTCTTACCCTCCTTTCTGTTTATGTGCATTAGCAGTTGAGCTCTTCTGAATATTTGAAATTACACCCAGAATAATCACATGGGTTTTCACACTGACCGCAGTGGTATTGCCCTCCTCTGTATCCGAGATCCCGGGAGCTGAGAGCATCGCAGTTTAGGGGATCGTTGCTGGACGGCCATCCTCCTCTTATGAAGCTTCCTCCTAACGGGACAGTTCAACCTTAGACTCTCCCCTTGTGAGGCCACAGCTTCTTTTCACAGGACCCGGGGAGGCTGGACTGCTCAGTGGCCTCTGAGCTAGGGAGAGGTTGCACCTGTTTGGACAGGAAGCATTGGAGGACTGGTTAGTTTCCAGTAACGGGCATCAGAGATCAGAGCACAAGCTCTGCTTAGAATCCTGCCTTCCCCACTTCTGAGTGGTTTGGTCTTAGGCAGATCCCTACCCTCTCTCTGCCTCAGCGCCTCATCTGTAAAATGGAGACAGTAATAGCACCCTCATGTCAGAGCAGTTGATGGAGGGCAGGGGCCCCGGGTGAAGACAGCTCAGGTCCCGTCCTCTTTGAGCATCACGACCTGGCTCTCTGCTCCTGGCTCCCCTTGCCCCGCTGTGTTGCTTGCAAGAGGCAGAGCCTCACTCTCCCCCTTACAGAAGTGGGGTTCAGTACAGCAGAATGCGTTGGGGAAATTCCAGAAAATCTCCCTCATGTCCCATAAAGCCCCGGTCGATCTTTGTAGACAGAAGGGCCTTGCCCCTTGGAGAAGGCGCCCTCATGCTCTCCCTGTGTCTAATCTCGCCTCCCAGGGCCTTGGCCACTGTGGGTTTCTGATGCTCCTGAGGATATTCAGATGCCAGGCGAAGCTTGTCACCAGTGTTGTCCCCTCCTTGTTGCTTTTTTAAAATTCCACATCTCAGCCAGTAGTTCTAGATTTGGTAACGATGACATTGGGAATATGACTTTGCTTTCCAAAGGCTTAAATTCTTTATATATAAAACTTTATGGGCTAGTTACGTAAAGACTAAATATACAGAGAGCTGCTGGCATAGCTCTGCTGGGGAACGGGATGGAGCAGGCAGCCAGTGGAAATGTTACTTTCTTTTTTAGCCTAGCATCTTTTGATTGAATACTTTCAGGATCCCTGCTGGTTTGGGTCATTGATGAATTTAGTTAAACACTCCAAGAATTTAACCTTTTCTTCCCCTCATAATGTTCCACGAACTACTTAAATGAGTTATTTTGGATTTTTTTAAAAGCTTTAAAAATATTAAAACACGACAGTAAAGGCATGATGATGACAGTGGAGATAGTAATGCCTTAAATGCTTAAAACCCCCTAAAAATGACACAGCACTGGCTCACAGGCTCACAGCATGGACTCAGTCACTCGACCCACAGTTATTGGCTCCCTGGCCTGGGTCAAAAGGTGAGGACGTGAGCATGAGAAGGGCATGGTGCCCTGGCACTCACGGGGTTACAGTCTAACGCCGCACAATGAAAACCACTTGTTTTACAATTTGTTGTTGTTGGTCAGCCACTAACTCATGTTCGACTCTTTGTGACCCCATGGACTGCAGCATGCCAGGCTTCCCTGTCCTTCATTATGCCCCAGAGTTTGCTCAAACTCATGTCCATCGAGTCGGTGCTGCCATCCAACCATCTCATCCTCTGCCGCCCCCTTCTCCTGCCCTCAGTTTTTCCCAGCATCAGGGTCTTTTCTGGTGAGTCAGCATTTTGCATCATGTGGCCAAAGTATTGGAGCTTCAACTTCAGCGTCAGACCTTCCAGTGAATATTCACGGTTGTAAGTACAGTCTTCTCAGAACATTTCAGTTTTGTTCCTCTGTTGGTTCTTCCAGGTGAGCGCTTCTGAGGAGTCAGATGAAATGCCAATGCCGGATTCCGAGAGCGTGTTTGTCATCCCCGGGAGCATTCTCCTGTGGCGAATAGCCCCTCGGCCTCCAAACTCAGCCCAGGTAAGGCCTCCTGTTTACTTGGATCTGACGGTGCTCTTTCCCTGGCCTGGACAGAACCAAGAGAGGGCGGGGGTGAGAGGCGGGGCATCGAATTGGTGCTCAGTCATCCCTCTGGTTTCCCACCCGGGATCCAGGGTTGCTGCTGCCCAGGCCTCCTGGTGTCTGGCCGAGATGCCTTGGGGTGGGCCTTTAGGGGGCTTCCTCCGTATATAACAGGGGGTGGGCCTTTGGGGGCTTCCTCCATACATATGGGGATGGGCCTTTGGGGGGCTTCCTCTATACATACTGAGGAGTAAGACTGACTCTCTTTAAGTACATGGTGATGCAGCCAGATCTACCAAGTGAGACTTCATATGGAATGAAGAATGTTGGTTTCACTCATAGTTCTCCCTGGAGGTGATGGTGGTGAATGTCACCTGAGGGGTTTCCTTGAGACAGACACCCACAGCTAGTGTGGACCTGGGTGAAAACATGGAGATGTGTGGGTGCAGAGAGGCCGGCCATCATCACCCCAGAACAGAGCAGGGGATCCCTGTCGAATATTCTAGCCTCAGGGTTTCATTCTGCATTAACCTCCAGTACATGTTAATTTGAACATTTTCTTCTTTTTAGATGTACAATTTTACTAGCTTTGCAATGGTTTTGAATGAAGTAGACAAGGAGATGGAGAGCGTGATCCCTAAGACAGACTGCAGGCTGCGGCCTGACATCAGAGCCATGGAGAACGGGGAAATAGGTAACGCGCCTGGCAGCTCTAGGGAAGATGGATTTCTTTGAGGAGGATAGTTTGTCTCACTCCCAGTCACTGTCTGCGTTTTAGTCTGTTAGGGCTTAACATTTTACATGTTCGCACAAGCATCTTACATGTTAGCATTTTACGTGTTAGCACAAGGCACCCCTGGTGGCTCAGACGGTAAAGAATCCGCCTGCCAATGCAAGAGACCTGGGTTCGATCTCTGGGTCAGGAAGATGCCCTGGAGAAGGGAATGGCAACCCACTCCAGTATTCTTGCCTGGAGAATCCCATGGACAGAGGAGACTAGCGGGCTATAGTCCATTTAGTCATAAGGAGTTGGACACTACTGAGCAACCTACACTTTTCCCAGGTGATGCTAGTGGTAAAGAGCCTGCTGCCAGTGCAGGAAGCATAGGAGACTCGGGTTTGATCCCTGGGTCAGGAAGATCCATCCCCTGAAGGAGGGCATGGCAACCCACACCAGTATTCTCGCCTGGAGAATCCTATGGACAGAGGAGCCTGGCAGGCTACAGTCCATTGGGTTGCACAGAGCCAGGCATGACTGAAGTGACAAAGCACATGTTTATTTATTTGCCATATCTCAGTTGCAGCATGTGGGATCTTTTAGTTGTGGCATACGGGATCTAGTTCCCAGACCAGGGATTGAACCCAGGCCCCTTGCATTGCGAGTGCAGAGCCTCTGGACCATCAGGGAAGCATTATAACATGACTTCAGAGTCCTTAAGAATAAGCCGGCTCCTTGGGGAAACACAGAGGCTGTGGAAGGAGGTGAGAGGTCCTGGCTGCCAGCATCGCCTCTCACCGGCTTGGGGCTGTGTTAAGTTTGGACATGATGTCTGACTGTGGCGCTTGTGTTCTGATAAAGGGCGGCTGTGCTAACACCTGCCTCCATGCAGTGAGCGTGCCAAGCACTGTGCTGGGCGGCCTCTCCTTGTACAGTAACTGTGTTTTCACTGCTGTGCTGATTCTAGATCAAGCTAGTGAAGAAAAAAAGCGACTCGAGGAGAAACAGCGAGCAGCCCGCAAGAACAGGTCCAAGTCGGAGGAGGACTGGAAGACGAGGTGCGCTGAGGGGCTGGGGCGTGTGGGTGCGGTGGGGGGCCCACTGCACCCCGCGAGTTGTCCCCAGGCCTGAGAGAAAACTACTTTCCTTTGACCAAGTTCAAGCTGAAAGGGCTGCACATGTGCAAAGAAAAAGGACTATTTGGGAATGAAGGTTAAAATATTTCTATACAGTTCACTCAGGTTGATGTCAATTAAGCAAACTCTTTTCCTTATCCAGCAAAGTACTTGTCCCTTCTATAAGAGGGAAAGTAGAGTTACAGATTTTGGTATGAAATAGGTTCAGAGTTGTTTGTTTGAGTGAATTATAGGAGCTTTGCTTATACATATGTCATGTATCAAGGATATTTAGACAGAGCCTTTACTCTTCCAGACACACGACACACATCGTGGAGATACAGTTTGTTAAAGTGACATCTTGGGTTCCATTAAGAAACAGAAACTGCGCAGTAAAATGTGCAAGTTTTGAAAATTTTTCTAAAGAATCAGGAGTTACTTGGTCACTTGGGTTGAGTAATAGAATCTCTTGTAAATAGGAATAGAACGAAAACATTTTTTACATTTATATTATGTAATAGAAACCATTGTCCCATTATTCAAAGTTGTTAAGTAAATTTCAGAGCCAGTGTGGGCATCATTTCACAACCAGTTTAGTAGCTATTACTTAGTAGCCCTTTGGCATCTTATACCTTTATTAGAACTAGGAATGATCTTAGGTATCATCAAGTCCAACAGTTTGGGGACTTTTTTGTTAGCATCAAAATCTTTCTTTCCAATGAACATACGAAGAATTTGCAAATACAGAGCACACGGCCACAGAGCTGCTGGGGTAGGATGAGGGCCGAGCATCGAGGTTCACCTGCTCCCACGCGCACACACGCAAGATCCAGGGAGCCTCTGGAAAGCCATTAGTCTAGAAATCCCCTTGTATGTGAAGAAACAAATGCTGGTTGTATTTCATTTGGGAGAGTTGCTCAAGGACAAGTACACCCCACAGACCATGATTAGAAAGAGCCACGGAACCCAAAACCACACTGCTTCACTGCAGTCCCTTCTGAAAGGACTTTATCATTATTTTTAGTCTCTCTTGCAGAAAGCCCACTTTGTGCTGTATTTCTAATTAACTCCTTTATTTTTCTGACCACATTTTCAAGTGTGCGAAGTAAGTGAAAGTCCAGTAAGCATGTTTACTGTTGGGTGAAGTCTTACTTTCAGAAAGCAACGAGCTTTGGACAGCTCTGTGGTGGCCTGGAAATAAAACTGGAAGCTAGGTTTGTGAGCTCCAGTTGGGAGTCTTACACATGCTTGCTTCCACCGCTGTCTCTTAGCATCCATAGTTCTTATATGGATATCAGTTCAGTTCAGTCACTCAGTTGTGTCTGACTCTCTGCGACCCCATGAACCACAGCATGCCAGGCCTCCCTGTCCATCACCAACTCCCTGAGTCTACCCAAACACATGTCCATTGAGTCGGTGATGCCATCCAACCATCTCATACTCTCTTGTCCCCTTCTCCTCCTGCCCTCAATCTTTCCCAGCATCAGGGTCTTTTCCAATGAGTCAGCTCTTCGCATCAGGTGGCCAAGGTATTGGAGTTTCAGCTTCAACATCAGTCCTTCCAGTGGACACCCAGGATTGATCTCCTTTAGGATGGACTGGTTGGATCTCCTTGCAGTCCAAGGGACTCTCAAGAGTCTTCTCCAACTCCACAGTTCAAAAGCATCAATTCTTTGGCACTCAACTTTCTTTATGGTCCAACTCTCACATCTATACATGACCATTGGAAAAACCATAGCCTTGACTAGCAGCCCTTTGTTGGCAAAGTAATGTCTCTGCTTTTTAATATACTGTCTAGGTTGGTCATAACTTTCCTTCCAAGGAGTAAGCGTCTTTTAATTTCATGGCTGCAGTCACCATCTGCAGTGATTTTGGAGCCCAGAAAAATAAAGTCAGCCACTGTTTCTACTGTTTCCCCATCTATTTGCCATGAAGTAATGGGACCAGATGCCATGATCTTAGCTTTCTGAATGTTGAGCTTTAAGACAACTTTTTCACTCTCCCCTTTCACTTTCATCAAGAGGCTTTTTAGTTCCTCTTCACTTTCTGCCATCAGGGTGGTGTCATCTGCATATCTGAGGTTATTGATATTTCTCCTGGCAATCTTGATTCCAGCTTGTGCTTCTTCCTGCCCAGCGTTTCTCATGATGTACTCTGCATAGGAGTTAAATAAGCAGCGTGACAATATACAGCCTTGATGTACCCCTTTTCCTATTTGGAACCAGTCTGTTGTTCCATGTCCAGTTCTAACTGTTGCTTCCTGACCTTCATACAGATTTCTTAAGAGGCAGGTCAGGTGGTCTGGTATTCCCATCTCTTTCAGAATTTTCCACAGTTTGTTGTGATCCACACAGTCAAAGCCTTTGGCAGAGTCAATATATGGATATACAGACTTTAAAAATGATGCTGCTGACCCTTGGTCAAAAGAATATGTGCTTGGAGCCCGTTCCCAAGAGGGGCGAGAGGTGGTGGTTGCTGACTGGGTCTTCTCCTGGCTAATAATGTGCTTTTGAGCAGCTGGGTTCAATTTGTGTCGGGGTAGAGGTTGTGCAGCTTATAAAGGGATATGTTTTGCAGAGGAGAGTTAAAACCAGGCCTTGGAAATCACACCCAGAAACTAATTATAACCTGTCCCAAACTCAGCCACACTAAAAGCTGGCTTCCCTGTTGATACCAGTTTCAGTCATTTGAAAAAATTTCAGGCTCTGGGATTTTTCAGGCTTTAAACTGTAGTTCATACACATGATAATGGCTGCTTGTGATCCTGCCCTGTTTTCCGAGAGAAGCCCAGAGACCTTAGCAAGTGGGGTTTTGTGGAGAGGAAGTGGTGGGACTGGTGAGAGACACAGCTGTGAAGAGGTGGGTGATGATGCCACAAAAGTTGGTGAAGTCATCTCTTCCCCCCAGTAAGAGCATCATGCAGAATTAATAGCGTTCTAGAATGTTATATTATGTAGAATGTTATATTACTGATTACATTATAGAATGTTTTATTACTAACATGGGGCTTCCCTGGTGGCTTAGATGGTAAAGAATCTGCCTGTAATGCAGAAGACCCAAGTTTGATCCCTGGGTCAGGAAGATAGCCTGGAGAAGGGAATGGCTACCCACTCCAGTATTCTTGCCTGGAAAATTCCATGGGCAGAGGAGCCTGGCAGGCTACAGTCCATGGGATCACAAAGAGTTGGACACAACTAAGCGACTAACACACACGTCAGTCATTGACTAACACACATTACTGACAGAGACCCATGGATTCTGTAGACTCAGAAACATTGACTGAAAGGTAACAAAGACACCTCTCCTACCCCCTCTTTCTTTTGCCCATGCTCACCTAAAGTGTTTGAGTCTGGAAAAACAGCATGGGCCTTTCTGTTTGTGGAGGGGATACGCTGACAGCAGCAGAGGTTTCCGGACCTGAGTGCTGGAGATGAGAAGACCAGACGTCGCGAGAAATGCTAGTCCTTAGTATCAGATCCTCAGACCTGATTGTCTTTCATATGGTGTTCCAGTTCTCCCCAAGAACAAGTGCTCCCCATAGGGAGGCCTGGCAGACATGGCCTTTAGTGGCTTAAGTGTGAACCCAAAAAAGTCCTTTGCTATTGGATGAATCTTCTGCTCTGTGAAGTCTCTCTGCACTTGACTTGCCCACTGTCCACTTTGTATGGAGGAAGTCCTGTGGTGTAGGCCTGAGTCTTGATTAATTTTTAGAGTCATTTTTGATGATCTTGATTTTGATTTGATTGACTTTTCTGAAGTGCTTGGATTTTGTTAAGCCTGACTACAAAAGTGCTTTTATTACTTGAACTTTTGAGACCAAAAAGAGTGAAATTGTATGCTTCATTTAGACAAAAATTCTGTGACTCTGATCAAAGAAAAATCCTTAAAAGTATTTCCAGCGTGGTTACCAAAGTCTTGAGAAACACGTGTCTTCATAAATATTTGATATTGATATTTGACTTTAAAATTTTTTAACTAGGGAAAAGTCCCCAAAGCCAAATAACTTCTGTAATAATTTAGAAATTTGGGCCTAGGGGCATTTACTTTCTCAGCCTTCAAGGAATTAGCCTAATCTGAAGCATGTTTTCTGTCTTAGGGCTTTTAGTGTTGCTTCAGTGGTTAACAGGGACCACTTGGGATTTATGTAACCTCACTCTAATTGTTAAATATTTTTGAGGCAATTTATTTGGGAAGAATGACAGACATGAAACTATTTTTATAAATATTACTCTGAAAAACTAAATCTTACTAGAAAATGTTACACAAATTGAAATTTGAACCTTTTGAAGAAGTAATCTTGCATTTCCATTACCTCAAGAAAGCTGGGAATATTTAGGAAATGGGTGAATTGTTTTTTAAAGGGCAAGAAAATCAGGGCAGCTCTTTTTAGAGTTTGATCAGATGGGTAAGGATGTTAGAAGCTAGATGCAGCCTATAAATATACATTAGTGTGGAGAAAAGAGAGACCCAGGAAGATGTGGGCCAGATTAATTTCAGTGGATTATGTGTAACGTAGTATATTTGGAAAATGATGGTCTTTAAAAAGGCTTATTTGATATCATGGCTAGCTTGGGCAAGTTATTTAATTTCTCTGACATTGAGCCCCTCATTTGTGAAATGGAAATAATATTTTTGGGTAGGAGGATTTACTCTGAATCACCTTCCTATTACTATAGGTAGACTGTAAAAGTCTCACCCTGATTCCTTATTCCTCATTGCTTAAAAGCTGCTTTATTCTGGAAGGTAAGCAGTGGACAATTAGACACCGTTACTGAATGCCATGGAAAATCCTTAAATCTTTCAAGCGGTCTTATTACAGATTTCCGAATACTGTTTTACATATTCTGAGCATGACTGGGTGCATGTTCAGTCATGTCTGACTCTTTGCGACCCCCATGGACTGTAGCCCACCAGCCTTCTCTGTCCTGGAGCGGGTTGCCACTTCCCCCTCCAGAGGATCTTCCCGACCCAGGGATTGAAGCCGTCTTCTGCACTGGCAGGTGGATCCTCTGCCACTGAGCCACCCAGGAAGCCTGTTGTTCTACATAAGTGCTCTCTAAAGACACTTCCAAAGTGTTCTCGGAAACCTCTAGCTCACAGAATGAAGTGAATCGCTGCAGTAAGGGAGTTTGCAGGCTGGTGAGGCAGTGAGGATCCTGTGATTGCAAACAGTTTCCCCTGTAAATCTTGTCTTCTCCTTAACAGGTGGTTCCATCAAGGCCCTAATCCCTACAGCGGAGCCCAGGACTGGCTTTATTCAGGCAGCTACTGGGACAGAAACTACTTCAATTTGCCTGACATTTATTAAAATGTAGACAAGTTGGGGCGTTTGGACGCATCTGCAGATAAGTCTTAAACCTATGTTTTAAAATTTTCTTCCTTGGTTTCTACTCATCTTTAAAAAAAAAAAAAAAAAATGGAAAAACCCCTCTCATGATAACTTGCACTTCACCCAACAGAAGTGGGGTATAGGGTGATACCAGTGATGAAAGTCTTAAGAAAAATGGGTAATTCTGCTATCCGGTCGTGCTTCTTTGGAATACTATTTTATACAGAGGTATGGGAAACTGCTGGCGAATATGCTTTTGATGGTTGCTGTTGCCATATTTACCGAAGGTTTATACCTAAATGTAACTTTAGCTTTATTGAATTATATAGTAACCCAGATCAAGTTATTTTGAATATTTTTATGCTGTCATGCTTGAATGTTTTAGATTTAACTTTGAAATGTTTAAAATTCTCCTGTACAAGGTTTATATGCTCAAATATAGAGGTGTATGTCATTTTGTAAAGACTACATTGAAAAGATGGCTTTTCTTTACACAAATCCTCTCAATTTTGCCCCCTCCCATCCCTAAAAAGAAAAAAAATTAATGTTAAGAGACATTCCTAATTTGAAAATTCGAAACTGGAAAAGGTATTTCATTTGCTCATTTTAGTACTCTGAATTTACTTTTACAATTTTCTATAATTAATGTCATTAGAATTAAGAGGTGTTTGAATTGTATGTTTGAAAATATGTATAAAACCTAGCAATTCACAAAAATACCATAGAAATAGAGGTTTTAGGCACCATCATTACATAATGACAAACGTTTTTAAATGCTTCAACTTCCAGTGGCAAATGCCACCAGAGCAGCTCAGTTTATTCATGTATTATAAATGTCAAACTATATAAAAGGAGGTCTTGTGCATTTCAGGTTTTCAAGGCACCTGTGTACTTAAGATATGTACGGAGACCTACTGTACAGTAGCTTTGCCCCTTTAATTGGGGTACATTAATCATATGGTATTTATCTACCCAACCCCAGACTGAGATTTTGCTCCCAGGGGCCTTAGATAACTGCCAGTAAGTTATTTCAGTGGCTGTCTCAAAGTTAACAAGTGTTATAATGAAATAATCTACCTGATGCTAATAAAGGCTTTAGAATGTTCTAAACAGTGTGGTTTCATTTAAACTTTCAAATATACTCATAATTGTAATTCATGTGATCCTAAATTGTCAAAGAGTGTGCTCACAAAGAAGTCCCTGTGGTGTCAGTTTGCGCTGAGGGTCTTCTGGGTAAGTAAGTACAGTACAGAGTAAGGTGGCACTGTATTCGCTCCGTGTGAATGCCAAATGGGGAATGGTCAACTGGAAAACCTTGCTAGAAAACTGCTCAAGTGGAACTATTTTTTTTTTACAGTGTGTACTTAAGACCTGGTTGTGTTGTTTGTATACTCCCTAAATTACAAAATAAGCAAGATGACAAGGTTTTATGCTTGCATGAAGTTTATTGATATAGTACACTTGGTGGCAGACTCCACCTTGAATGTCGACTCAAACAATGTCATTTTCGGCATCTGTGAGGAATAATGTAAACAGTGAATTGTTTAATCATAAAACTGAACATGTAAAATGAGTGATCAAAAATGCAAGTTCTGTGCTCCTGCTCTGCTCATAACTAATGTTACCTGTGCATTTGCACTGAAATATGCTCAAGACAGCCATTTGGACAGTTCCATGGAAGTCTACAAAGGGTGTGAGTAAGTAAATGTCCTAAGGTATTTTGAAAACAGTGCCTTCTTAAATATAGTCATTATGTCACTTGAACTTGCCTCTAATTGACATCGAGCTTCTGGGGTTCAGCTGCTGTCTTTCTTCTGATTCCCCACTGAACTCTTAATCCCATCTTCCCATCTGACTTCACCTTAAGGGTCTCTCGTCTGTTCTTTCCTGCCTTTGGACTCTGTGGGCTCCTTGCGTGGCCAGCTCCTCCTAGGCACATGTCCATTACATTAGGACCTGAACACCCCATCTAATAGACGAGGGCCTGGATCCATACCTCTGTGCTCGCATCAGGGAGGAGAGACTGACGCTGAATGTGGTAATGAATAATGGTTGAAGAAAAATGTATTGATTTGTGAGGATAAAACTGTCTACAGTTAACGCTGCTTTTTTAGCTCTTTAATGTGTCTCCACCCTCTTTGCTCTGCTCTGAGTACTCACTGTACGAGGGAGCACAGTTGCCGCATGGACTGAGTGCTCCCTCTAGAATTGCTCAACTTGCTCCTCCCCACCCTTTAAACCTGCCAACTAGATATAAAATGCCCACATAAGGCTGTCTTTTTGTGACTCCATCCCTTTGGCAGCTTCTGCAGGAAGATACAGGACTGGATGTTCAAAGGTAAACGAGTTGACTGGTGCACGTTTGACACCAGAGCCATGGTGAGCGTCCCTGGGGCCGTGCGTCTGCCCTGCACTGAGCAGTAACTGGGGGTCAGGGAGGCATGCACTCAGCTGTCTTAAAACACCTTTGTCTACAGGTCAGCAAATCAAGCTGCTGCGAATGCACGCAAATGTGGTAAGTCCCAGTGCATGGGGGGGAGAATTTACCTGGCTGTTTTAAGTTTCTGCTCTGCGAACATGGGCAGTAGTCACGGTTATTTCTCCAGCAATACCGTAACTTCCAAAGGGAGACCGTTTGTCACCAGATCCTGAACCTTTTTTGGCTACATCTTCTACCGGGAAAGCAACAGAAAGAAAAACTGGGCTTTTTGGTCTGGGTACATCTTGTCCACTTGTAGGAGGACTAGCATTCTGGGGGGTGGGGACGTGTTTCTGGAATTTCTGATCTGCAGGAAGAGCAATGGGCACTTGCACTGCGGCATATCTCTTCACGGCCTCTGACTGGGAAACAACAGCATGTCCAGGAACAGGCTTCCAATCCTGTGCTTCCTGAACATTTGAGCCCACTAAAATAAAAGGCGGGGCAGTGGTCGTCTTGCTGTCGTCCATCATCACATAAGTTGGAGAAGTAACTTTCGGTGGATGCTGCAGAAACTGTGGATCCTTAGGATTAGAAAGATAGAGGGTTGCCTGGGGGAAAGGCCCAGGTGCAGGTGGCGGTGATGGGCGGCTTTGTTGATTCATATCAGTTAGACAATAAAGGGTCCACATGTTAGAATATGGTGGTGGTTGTCCTGCTTCGCTTGCTGCTAGTGCTACAAAAAAAAAAAAATTTGCAGGCGTTAAAGGTTTGGTCTCTGTATCAAGCGCTATGCACAGAAATGTCTTAAATTTTTTTTTTAACATATAAACAAACAGCTGTAGTAATATGTGCCATAAAGCATGCTATAGAGAGGGCTAAATAAATCATGTTTGGTAATGTGAAAGAAGAGAGATTCTCAACAGTTGGAAAATGAGAACAGTGTCTTGATAGCAAGTGGCAGGGACACTAGGGTTGTGGCTGAGGAGCAGTCTCATTGTAAGCTGCTGTTTCCAGGAACTTAACTTTAGACCTGGCCTCTCCAGGATCCTCAGGAAATGAAGAGTCAGCACTTCCAGCTCCACTAAAACAATCAACTGAAGAGCGTGTGAAGCCACTGGAAAAAGCGTTAATGCATCTGCATAGTGATTATTCTCTTTATGGGAGAAATCTGCACTCAGCACTAGGTGGCATCTTTTGATCACATCATCAGGTATCTTGGGCCCTTCACAGGCACCGTCGTCACCCGCCAGTCTGTCACCACACAAAAAACATCACATAATCTAGGACTCAGCACTTGGGAGCACTGCCTGGGCTTAGGCGAGACTTGAAATTACAGGTCCTAGGTGGCAGTAGAAGGCTGCGTGTTTGCATAGTGGCTCTTCAAGGGGAAAAAAAACGGTCCTGCGGTGCCATCCATTCACTTCCACCAAGGATGCTATCATGTCAGGTTAGAGTTGCCTACTTGAAGCCAGTGCTGTTGTGGAGAACTGAGTCCCAGAAGATGGGATGGAAGAACAACATATAGCCTTTGTGCAGCTTTTTTTTTTCCTTCTTCAGAAAAGAAAAAGACACTATGCACATGATTAAGCTACATTTTCAGGCTGCTGAAACTGATCCTTCTGGAAGCTAATTAAAGATAAGCACAAGTGAAGTCGTCGGGTGTCTCTGAAATACCTTTAGTGCTTTGGAAGCAGTTAAGCCACTTGAGAACAGTAACTTGGGATAAAGTGCTGCCTGGGCCACAAGTGTAATGCCAGCCCCCACAGGCTACGCTCCAACGCTGCCCCCTGCCTTTCCAGCTGTGCAGAGTCCCCGTCACACTGCCAGACAATTTCATCTCTAAACACCTGCTGTGGTAACACCTCTTTATCATTCTGACTCTGGTAAGAGTCGTGATTGAGAGAGCTTCTGCAAAAGGAATGGGGGGGTGGTGGTCCCTGCATGTCCCACCTACCTAAAGAGAGAAGGGTCACTGCACTCATCTGGATGAAGTAGTAGGGCGGGTGGACCAAAGGCCATTAACTAGACCAAGATGGGAGGTCAGATGGTGCATCTGTGTCACAGGAGAACGGTAGTGATAGTTCAGCAGCCAAGCAAGTAGCGTGTTTTAGGCTCCTGTTGGGGTAATGATGGAAGCCAGCCAGCCAGCCTTGACACGTCCATCCTTCCTGCTGCCGCTACCACCCCGCTCCCCTGTGGGACAGAACTTCACCTTGACCTTTCCCCTCTCCATCCAGCTATGAAGCTGCTCCCTCCGCTGCAGGCAGCCCCCAGGCAAGACGGCAGTGCTCAACCGGCCCCCCCAGACCAGCTTGCAGAGCTCTCCTCCCTCAGCGCAAAAGCAGTCAAACACACCACCATTTCTTCCATGTTTCCAATGCCACCACCTAGGTAAATATGTTGTTGTCATTTGCTTTTACGTTCATGAGTGAGAAATTTCAAACCAACACCCCATGATTACAGTTTTGCAGTAGCAGTATCCAGATCACATGACATGTTTGTGCCTGACAACAGGTTCTAACATCTTTGGCGACATGGTATGTCCAAACAACGGAAGAGCACTTGATGACTAAACTTTTGAGGCCAAGCGGTGGTGATGTTACTTTAAAATCACTCATCTCATGAGAGTAAAATCTCAAATACAACAAAGCCTTTATTTAAATAGGTTTGGCATTTTCAGTACTATTGAAAGGAAAGACTTCTGACCAGTCTGCAGGGAGCGTACCTAGATGGCCACCTGAAATAGAGATGTCACCAGAAGTGTAGTTTTTAATTTTGTAAGTAATTTTCTTACCTGGCTCCATCAAACCTCGTTGGAAGGTGCTGCTTCCCATTCTGGTTCCATTTCTGGTTCATAAAGACCTTCTGGAACAGGAGGTTGGGGGCCACTAGATGATCTTACGGACCCTGAGCGCGCGGGTTTGACCTCCGTCTCCTGGGACGCAGGGTTTCCCCCGGACTCCTGCCCAGCACTGCCAGGGGCCAGCGCAAAGATCTCCACTTCAAGGTGCATGGATTTCTCAGAGCTCACTGCTTTGGTAGAGCCGTCTGCCTCCACATGGACTGAGTCATACTTTGTGCTCTCCGACTGCACAAATTTTGCGGAACCCACAGATTTTTCAGACCCACCTGAGGCTGTCTTGCCTACTACAAGTATGGGACTGTGTGGTGGTGACTGCTCCTTGCCTTTAAGACGAGCAACGTGATCAGAGAAGGGGATAACTATTTGTTCTGGTAACTGCTCAACATAAGTAACTCCTTCGATTACAGGCTCATCATTATAGATAGAGGCTATGTGCATGGTGGATGTCACCTCAATGTCAGCCTGCAAAGGGACCTCAGAAGCATGGTCACAAGCAGGAGGTTCTTGTTCACCCTGCAAGGGGAATGAGGAAGCCGTTGGTGATTCAGCCTTACTGCCCACACGTACATGGACAGATTTTTCGCTCACAACCTGCTCTGCTACCATCTTGCCAGAACACACACTAGGAGTGGCCACCACGTTCTCTTCAGTAGCCTTCGAGTGCAGCATCTCCTCGGAAATACCAGGCATACTTGTTGCCACATCCACCATTAAAATTTCAGATTGATCAGAATGAACAGATGGAACATTACCTAACATCTGAGCAGCAAACTGGGCGGGGTCCGCAGGGACATAGGCAAACTCGGAAGTGACAGCTGCTGGCATTGGTGAAGATGGTGGGGTGGCGTTCTTGGGGGTGGTCGGTTTGGATGGACCCTGGAGTGCTTCACTTGCGTCCTCAGGCTCTGAGACCAGCTCGGCCTGAACTGATGGGAACTGAGTGGTTTTGTTGCTGAAGAGCGGTGCTGCTATGTTATCCTCCTCTGTGTCCGTCGATTTTTCCATCCGTTTAGGTTCTAGGGAGATGGTAGATGCTCTTTCTGGCTCTTTCACACATTCTGCTTTCTTCTCTTGTGCTATTCCTTCCGACCATTTCTCCACTAAAAATGAACGGTAAATGAGTTAACAAGTATATAGTCCTCAAAAAAGCAATTTTAAAGGAAGCATAGGTTGAGCATACCAAAGTCATTATGTATGCAACTTTGAAAGTTTTGTTTCACTCTCCAACATCTGTAACTTAAGGACAGGGGAGTTTCACTGCCCACACTTACCTACTAAAGAGAGACCTCAGTTCGTTACCTTAGAAATAAGGGACTACTTAGGGAGCACAGTAACAAAAGCTAATAATCAGATACCACCTTCAGCTGGATCATAACTCTGCCTAAATATCAGCTGAAAACATCCCTGAAAAAATCTCCTGATCCAAACTTCCACACAACTGGGGAAAGAAAAAAACACTCCTTAACTTAAATGAAACACATGCTGTCTTATTAAAAGGCATTCTTTAGGAAAATGGTATATAAAGTTCAATTTACTAAACTGTAAAGCTAGGCTACTATAGCATATTTTTACATTAGGAAATGTCCTTGAAGGGGAAGAAAATAACCATGGCTCACAAGGTCAAGTCAACTGATGACATACAGAAACTCCCAGAGCTGGAAAACTGCTGTAATGTCATTTTCTGGACTCAACATTGTGCTTGTCACTCACGTTTGTTTAACCAGCTGAGTCATGACTCAAACGTTTTCACATCTGCCTACTTTACTCAGGATTACCTCTTTGGGGAAGCATTTCCCTGATCTCATGAAATCAGCAAGAAAAGTTAAGTTTGCCTTAGGAGAATATATTTGCTTCAAGTCAAAACTTTGGAAACGTGTCTTCATGGTAAAGAAATCAGTGCTTGGGGTTTAAGTCCTGGCCCTGAGAGTGTTCTCCCTCAGCCCCTTCTCCCACACTCTTGCTCTTCCTCCTGGGGGCAGCCTGCTGTTTCTCATCGATGATGCCAGGCAGGGACTCGCTGACCTAGGTGGGCCTTGTGGTGGGCACTGGCAGGGGGGCTTTCTCACTGTCCTGTGGGTCATCCATGGCAGCTGATCTCTGCTTTGTATCTGTGGTCAGTCTTGAGCCAGTGTTTCTGCCTCTCCCCCAGTGGTAGGAAGGAGCCCTCTATTTGGTGTTGACATAGGACACCTCTCTGGCCTTCTACCTTGCTTCCATCTTTCACAAAAGGCCTGTGAGTGTGAACTTCCTGTGTCTGGAGTCCCAGACTCCTCCAGCTGGACACCCAAGCCCACCCTTAGGGCAAGGGCAAGGTCAGGACACCCACTGCTAAAGGAACTTGAGGCCTGCAGTGCAGTGAAGGTAGGAGAGCCACCATGAAACCCAAGCCCACTCTTTTCTAGACTCATCTACCCACTCTACGCCAGCAATTCTCTTTTCCCTCACGGGGACTTCAGTTCCCCAGGCAGTCATTTATTTATCATGAGCATTCTCAAGAACACAACCAGCTTTGGGACTGGATCACTGAAGTCCATAGATCGCCTGCACAGGACCCATCTGAGATGTCACTTAAAGGAATTCAGCAACTGTGGGAAGGCCATGTGCTCTTTTAAAACAGGCTTATCATTCCTGAAAAATCTAAGAGACTAATCCTTACACTTCATATTTTTGCCTTTGGAAGTCCCATATTAACCACCATTCTGGAAAGGTAAGTGTTAGTAACACACAGTCGTATCTGACTCTTTGTGACCTCATGGACTGTAGCCCACTGGGCTCCTCTGTCCATGGAATTCTCCAGGCAAGAATATTGGAGTGGGAAAGGTAAAGCATTATATAATTATGAATCATGACAACTCATCAGAGAATTTATGACATTGCTGCCTTCCCCACAACTTTTCATAGTAAAAAGGTATATGAGAAAGTCTGGATCTCAGTCCTGACTGAATAGATTTAATGGCCAAGCCAATGGTTCTGAGCTTCAGTCTCCTAGTCTGTAAGATCTTGAGTCTTTGTAGAGATTAAATAGAATCATTCACCTAAAAGTTACTCTATAAACTATAAATCACATATAAATGGGAAAATAATAAATCAACACCTAGTTAAAAAGTTCTGAAATGTAATACCAAATTAAAAATTATAAACCTATCTTTAAATCAGCTTTGATTAAAATTAACTGGCTATCTCTTAATCTGGTGGTAAGATGCAGGGTGTTTTCCCCTATTTATACTATATGTCTGTATATACACACACACACATAAATGTCATATTTCATCACATTGAGATCAAGTGCCTTAAGCTGTAATAATGGTTTTGAAATGTAAAGCACTAGATTAACCACTGGGTTTTGTTTAGAATACATAAGAGGATATTAACAAATATATACATATGAGTTATCATACATATATAAATTTATATTGAGTTAAATTTATATTGAGTTTATCTATTACTACAAAAGGTAAAGAGCTTCTCTAATGTTTTATAGGTCTTTTTAACAGTTCCAAAGATTGCTTGACTTTGTAACCTTAGCTTTTGTCTGCCTGAAAATGTATTCTGCTCTCATTTTTAAAGGATGTAGTCACTGTATATATATATTCATTCTAGGTTGGCAGCTTTTTGCTTTCAGCACTTTAGAGATGTCATTTCATTGTCTTTTGGCTTCTCTAGTTTCTGTTAAGAAATCAGCTATTTGTCAGATTATTCTCCTGGAAGTAATACGCCTTTTTACCCTTCCTGTTCTCATGATTTTGTCTCTTTCAGCAATTTGACTGTGATTTGTATTTATTCTGCTGTGGGTTCAAACTTTTTGAATCTGCAAGTTGATGTCTTTCAGTCAGCCTTAGATAATTGGTAATTCTTGGTTACTTTTTCATCTACTCTCTTTTCTCCTCCTTTGACTCTAATTACACATTTTTTACCTCCTTTTGATCACGTCCCACAAATATCTTACACACTGTCCTCGTTTTTTTCTTCAATTTGGGTATTTTCTACTACCCTGTTTTTTTTTAGTTTCTAATTTTGTCTTCTGCTAGTAAAGCTATTTAATAAAAATTTAATTTGAAGTTACAGAATAACCGTTTGTTTTTTATTTTTAGAGCCTTACTCTGTTGAAGTTCTCCAGCTTTTCATCCATGCTTTCTATCTTTTAATTATTTTCTTCTAAATGGTGCTGATCTTGTTCTAATAATGGCACATATGATCCTCCTGAGACTTCATTTTATATTTTGTCAAAGTAGGTATATTACACTTTGTTCTTACTCCTAGCACACTGTCCTTATTTCCAGGTTCCAGAAGTCTCTTCATTTTGGCTGAGTCCAAACTCCAAAGCCTCCCCTCACACTGTACCACTTGTGAAAACCCTACTTAGCTTTCAGTCTTCCAGCAGCTCTTCTCTGTTAAGCCTTCTCAAACCTTAGAGTCCACACATGAGCACCTTAGGAGTTGGCAAAATAACCAAAGAAAGTATCTTTGCAGACTTTTGGGAAACCCTTCTCTGCAAATGCCTCCTCTCTGGTGCTGTCACCGAGATCCCAGCCCCCTCAGTAGCTCCAAACTCTGCTGCTCTGTTTTCTCTTCCTGGAGTGATTTCCAGTCTCTGCTTAGTCTCTTTTCCTGCACATCAATTTGAAAAATGCTACCATGGTAAATGTGGGGCTCAAGTTTTGTGAACTTTTGTGTCTGAGCTCTGGCTCTGACCCACATTGTGCTTTTCTGCGGCCTCTTAGTCACCTAGGTAGAAGCGTAGCGCATACTACCTGGGTGCTGGTCTCTGACTCCACTGTACTTACTACTCACGTTTCTACTTTGTGGAAAGTGTAGCCTGTGTGCTTATTTCACTGAAGGACTCAGAGATTCTTCATAATTTGGTTGTCTTTAGTAATTAAGGACTAGTTGACAGTATTTTAGTCCCAGTTTGGACGTGTTGCACTTAGCTCTCTGCAGGGTTGAGTCACTTCACTTTTCCCATCTGGGTTACTTGCTAGTCAGGACTCTGAGACGCCTAAACACATTTGGACCCACGAAAAGCCAGACAGAGCCTAGGAAACAAGTAACAGGACTCTCCAGTATTTCTAATCCAGTGCATCAAATGCAGTTAGTTTATTCAGCCAATATTTACTGAAGGTCTGATCGTGGCAGTTATAGTGTAGGATCTGAATGTAGCATGTGACATGCTAAATGCAGCACCATGCTACCGGTGAGCTACCCAGTGAGTTTCTGAGGAGCATGCATTCTTCCAGACAGCACAAGAATGCAGAGAACAAGCCAGATGCTTGAGTTTTAGGGAATTCTGATCAGAAATTCTACCTACCTTCCTGTCACCAGTTTCAGTCTCAGCTAGCACTTTTCATGCACCACAGTCCCACTGTCAAGAAGGACTTTCTATTTCCCTCTCCTGTACAGTAGGAAATGGCCTTCGAGCCTGTCTTTTTTCCTGCCTCCTGTATGGTTTATCTAAAGTAAAAACTTGATTCTGGTAACATTAGGTCTTAAAATACCTTTGAAAATTCCAAGAAAATCTTTTCCCAACAAAAGCAGGCTCCTGGACAACTCCAAAGTGTTAGCTTTTTTATTACGAACCAAGTAATGGATTCTTTGCTGTAGACTGTATTTGCCTTTTCCCTAAAGCAAATTAATGCTTCAGTGGGTAGAGATCAACAGAGCAAATAGGAAAAAATAGAGGTAATCTAAATCCGGGGTATACTAATTTATTATTTTTTATAAATATACCTACAACACTGAAGAGTTGGGATTGACAGGGAGCTATCAAAGTGTATGGCCAGCAGAGTCAGATACTTAGCTTACAAGGCCCAGAATGGTCTTGCTTCTTATATTGACCTCTCCTTGTGTGCCTGACCTCATCTGGTTCGCTGTCCTGGCTTGCATGGTTTTCCTTATCTGCTTCTCAGCCCAGCGTTCTTCTCTCTTAATCCTGACTCTGTATTTCTGTCCCTAGTCTTGACAATCTGACCCCAATTCTCAACTGCACCCTTTTCCCCAGTGATTTATTTGCAATCTTACCACAGCATTAAAGCCCCACTCCCAACAACATCACCAGATAATCATTCCAGCTTTTTAACTTAATGAAATTCTTACCTTGGTACAAATTACCACCCTACCTAGGCAAACACACAATTTCAAGAAATGAAAGACTCCTTTTGACACAATACTCATCCCTGTTTAGGAAATCAGTATAGCCTTACTTGAAAAAATTGCCCAGAAAAGTAGAGTGAACACCAGAGCCTCATAAAACTTGGTATGGATAGTCCTGAAATAGAGATTCCTTTTTTGTTGAATAAAGGTGGATAAGCTACAAGTATGTGTAATGAATTCTATAAGGCATAAATATAGAATTGGGCTTAAGAAACTGGAGACATTATTATATCTAATATGAATACATAAGACCATATTTAATGGTACACATAACTACTGTGATGCTACATAAAAAGTTAAAATTGGGCTCAGTGATCAGCAGCAGTTCATGACTATAATTACTACTCTACGACCACACCAAGAACGTCCAACCAGAATCAGTTAGAATAGTTAACAGGCTAACTCAGTTGGGAACCTTGGTGGCCTAGGCCTTCTTGATTCTTCCAAAGTAGTGGCTATTTCCTGCTCTGTTGGAAGCCAAGACAGGAATAACATCAGAAAGTAGACTCAACTAGGCTTGGGAGGATGGAAGGCGCCACTCTGATGGAGAGGCCACTGCCCTCCTCATGGAGTGGTGGAAAGGCCAGAATTAGTACAATCTGGGCTGTAGGCTCCATACAAGAAGCTGACAGGAGGAAGAAGTGAAAAGTGGGAGATAATGTGGGAAAAGAGAACTGAGACTTCGCTCCGAGTTCAAAAATTAAAGTTTTTTCTAGAGGAATGTTACTGGTGTGTTGCTCTGCCTATTTTGGAAAGAGAGTCATACTACTAGGAAAATCTTCATGCTACTAAGAAGATCTCAGTTTAGATCCCAACTCTACCAAATAGTATTTTAGAAACTTACAAGTTACCGACTCACTCCCAAGCATCAGATTTCTCTTGAGTGAAACTGTAGGATGTCACCTATTTTATAAAGTTGTTTTAACTGACAAAACATACTGTATTGCCTAGGACAAAACAGGTAGTCAATAAATTCTATTCTCCTTTCTTTTCCTAGATATACTAAGTGGTAGAACTTGACACAACTGTTTGCCTTAAAAATAGTGCCTGAGTTTGTAAAGTCCCCTCAATGATTCATGCAGATTAGTGAAGAAATTCTTCTGAGAAGACTGAGAAATAGAAAACACTTTCACTGATTCATAAAGTAGTAAGACCCATTTAATCAAATGGCAGAACAGTCAAGAGGATCCAAAAGAGGGTTTTACATGAGCAGCTTTGGGAATGAGCACACACGGGTGAAATATTTGCCAGAATGGAGGCTGTATAGAGGCAGGCTCTGGAAAATGAGAGAAAGGATGAGGAATGACAGAAGTGAGAAACGTTTGCTCCCATGTCTGGTTCTTTTCTCTCCATCACCTGACTCTGCGTGCAATTCTGAAGGCGGTGGGGCAACAGGTAAACAGTACTGGTCCTGCGATGAGGCCTAACAACGTGGGGCTCCTCCCAGGAAAACTCCCAGGTTGAAGTGTTTGAGTCAATGGTCTGTGGACATACTTATCTTCATACTCCCATGCATACGGGGAGCTTGGTAGTGATGCTGCCAGGCAGCACACTAACCAGTTTGGAAATAACTTTGGGGGATGCATCTGGTATCTGGGAGATGAGTGGACACCAGTGCACTAGGGATGGCAATTTAGCTCTTGCCCACATCATTAAGTCTTAGTAACTGGTGCTCTTTTTTTGAATAGAGGTATAGTTGATTTACAGTGTAGTGGTAATTTCTGCTGTACAACAAAGTGATTAAGTTACATATATACATATTTTTATATTCTTTCCCATTATGGCTTATCACAGAATACTGAATATACTTCCCTGTGCTATACAGTAGGACCTTGTTTATCCATTCTATGTATAATAATGAAGTTCGTTCAGAAGCCATTTGGGATGACAATAAAAGGCAGACATCGATACTGGATTGTAACATTGAACTCTTATTATATTTTCTGGTCATACCTTCGTGTTACCTTCCCCCGCTCTCTGGTAAACTAGAATAAGCAACATTTGTTTCTGCTCTGCTGTCTAAAGAACAATCTGTCTCTACAGCCATACTGTGAGCTTGCTTTCAGGATTATCTGTACATGCTCTGTCAATTTCCTTGATATCTATAGTTTCTAGAAGAGAGCAGTATCTCTTACCCCTTACCTTCATCAGAAGTACAGCTGCTACATTAGTTCAGTCTGTTTATTCTGAACCTGAGATTCAAAGATGTTAATCCCTGCTAAACCAAAATCCATCCCTTTAGTCCATATCCTAAACTGAATGGTGGATAAACTCTGCAGTAAACAAGTTAGTCTCAAAGGCTACCACTTAGTTACCTGCCACCATAAAGATTCACTGACTTTATCCCCATTCTCAAACACAGCCTGCACAGCCAGTCCTGTCAAACAGCTCCTGGTATAAGCTAGTACAAAGGCCACGTAACTGCCTGCTGTCCCTCCTCCAGCAGATCTTCCTGACCCAGAGATCGAACCTGTGTCTCTTACATCTCCTGCATTGGCAGCCAGGTTCTTTACCACTAGTGCCACCTGGAAGCCCCAAGGTTATAAGCAAATCCCAGGCCTATTTCCCATGGTAAGCGGAGAATTCCATCAGGCCCCTGCAGGGAAGCAGCCAGACTAGACAATAAAACGTTCCTGCTTGAGTGGCGACTCACTCCCTTACCCTGTGAAATGCTGCCTCTTTATATTCTTAATCTTGTTTTCTGTTTTGGGTGTCTCTTTCACTGTAGGTCCAAGCCCTCAGGATTTTTACATTTTCCTAGGTTTTATCCCTAATTTCTCCCTATCTTGGCTAAGTTATGTGTTAACATCAGTAGCAGAGAATAAACATGGACGTAACTCACTGATCCTATCTTTTTTCTCTATGGTCATTCCAAAATGTTGGTCGGCCAATGGAGCATTATTTATTTCTCACATTCACTGTAAGTCACCATTTTCTCCACAGAATTCTTCCAAAAGCTTTTTTTTTTTTTCTTTTACAATTCTTTTAGACATATGTGCCTGTTCTCAGGATTTAACTAATATAGACTCTTTGGCTCATATTGATCTTTCCGAATGTTCATCATGTAAACTTTGCCTTTTACATTTTTTACCTTCTGACTTCCTCACTGTTCACCCATCCTCAGTTTCATTATGTTCACATAAGATAGACATTTACACATATATACATAAAACAATTTTCCCCTAAGCAGATATATACAGCCTTACATCACAGAGACAGGCCAGAGACCACTTAATATGAAAAATTTAACTAAATTTTCTATGAAAAGTATGTTTAATGACACCTAATTGCTGCCCTGTCCTCCAAGCTGGACTGCAGTTTAAACCATCATGGGGAGGGGGAAAACAAGGGTGACTAACCTTTTCTATTAAAATAATCTTCCAAGAAGAGAGTTTATACACAACATTCCTAAGTAATGTATCTCATTATAATTTGAGCCTTTTTTACCACTACAAAATTCAGTTCAAAGATGGCATACTGTCACATTTCTTTAAAAAAACTGATTCAGTAATAAAAATAAAGCATCAGTGTGATTAAACATCAGTGTAATTATTTAAACAGACAATATCTGTATCATTCTTAAGTTTGAGCATATGTTAGGTATGATGCAGTAATTCATAACTAGGTTTTTATGAAACTGTTACTACTTATGGTACTTACCTTTAATCTGATGAAATTGTTTAACCAGATCTTTTATATCCAGACAAGAATGTCCTGAAGAAATAAGTACAGGAAATGAGATACATAAAATTCCCAATTTAGAATGCTTTCTTGTTCAAAGCAACAAATGTATAATCTAAAGCAGTAACAAACCTTCTCGAAAGAGAATAAGTTCTCTGAAATAAACTGCTGCGAACTGGGTGATGTTTGGTGGATTGGTTTTGAGTATGGCTCTGCTGACTCCCTCAAGCAGAGTCTTGAGGCCATAAGGTACGACAAGTCTGGGCTTTGAAGAAATCATGCTGGCAGGATGTCTGTAATCTCAACTACAATGAAGAAAAAGTGTCTTATAAATAGTATGGAAGTTTATTATTGAAAATGCTATGAGTTAACTATAGTTTCTAAGAATAAATCTATTAAAATTACTAATTTTAGTGCAGATCTCTAGGTATTTATTCAAGGAAAACTGACTAATGTTTAATGGTAGTTTGAAAAATAAAAAAAGAACCATACTACCAACAACTTATCATGCGCAGATGAGCAATCGAGTACTGTTAAAGAAATCCATGGGAAAAGCCCTGCCAGCAACTCCAGGATGATACTAAAAACAACAAAAACCAGACAAAACCTCTTTTTACAAAATTCTCTAAGTATTTTGTGCAGTAGAATTTTAAGGAAGATAAATTAAGCTCATTTATCTATGCCCAAGAAACATCCTTCCAAACCACATGGGAACTGGCTTTTCTGTACATTCATCCAATAGAGCTATTACAAAGTAAATTTCTACAAGAAAATATTTTCCCCTCACTTTCCTAAGTATATCCCCAGACACACTGATCATCCTTAAGTCTATATATTTTAGCTTTGTTTTAAGTTACTTGTGGTATTATACCACCCACCACCATTCATACCTCTTTTCTCCTATCTTCTCTTAACCTCTGCCCTAGTTTTCCTCTCCCCCTTCTCTTGGCTTTCTGGATTTTAAGTGGTACCAAGGGCACTGCATAGTTTTACTGTGTAAAACTCTAAGCTGCAGAGGTTGCTACCCTAAACTGTGTCAGTGTGTGTGTATATGTGTTGTTTCATTCTAAAAACATTTAAGAAGGCTTATAAATACTCATAAAGAACAAAATAAAATATTTAAGGAATTCAGTTCAGTAGTTGAGGAAAATTATGGTAGGAAAAATAGGATTAAGCCACAGGTAAAGTTAGTATCCCAATACAAACCTTAGATCCTACACTAGAGATGGATTGTCAGATCAGCCTTCTGAATTACCAAGAAGCCATCACATAATAAACAGTTAAATGATTCAGGTTTCCTGAGATTAGAAAACAAATCAGATGCTTGGGAGAATCACAGCTATTCTGGGCACTGAGTCCCAGGAGAAATTTCTCCTATGGGGCCTCATAAAGAGAACAGTGTAATCATGAACCAGGTCCTCAACAATATCTCTGTAGTAGATAAAATAATGAGTTTCATAGGGCTAAGTGACACAGTTCAGTTATAGCCATTATACAAGGGGCTAGCCTCTAATAAAAAGCAACTTAGGTGGCATAGCAAAATGCTGAATATTTAAACAAACATCTTCCTAAAGGTCAGGGGGAAAAAAAAGTTTTGGGGCCAAAGCAAAATCTTTGAGAACATAATTCAGGATACTGTATTCAAGCCCCTAATGAAAACTTACTATTAAGAGTTTCGTAACTCTTACGAAACTGCCTCTCTGGCAGGCCCACATGCTGAATGTTAAGGGACATAGGTAGTAATTAAATGGATGACATGTACATTTCATATGTCCGTATTTTTAAAAGGATATCCTGTGCACCCCAGTGTGAGTTGGGTAGACAGGTCGTGTTTTCAAAGTGCCTTGCCAGGAACCCCGACAGCTAACTAGTCAGCACTCGGTGCTGCCAACTGTGAGGAGAGCGCCCTCCCCATCCACCCCACCCCACCCCACCGCAGACTTTGCGCATGTGCGGGGTATTTAGCGCCCCAGGACCAAGGAGTCTACATCCTGCAATGCAGTGCCTTACAAAGATCGTCCTGAAGATGAGGAATGACCGTGACATAGATCGTACCTACATCACTGGGTAAAGTTACACATAGGGCCGTTGAGGGTTGTGTAAAATGACAGCTTATTAGTTTTCCCCAAACTTCTATTTGACAAATATTTGTCTAAAACCAACATATTTTACAACCCCCACCCCCACAGAGGAGTAACGCCTGAGCAGGAAAGGCGCCTTTGGCTGAAGATGCGAGATTAGGGGGCTTCGGAGTCGCAGGAAACGTCAAGGGTACCCACCACTCACTCCCTAAAGACTGCGCTGGGTGCTCGTTTTGTTTGGTTTGGTGGAAACGGCAGAGAGACCTGGGAAAGCAGGCGTCCCGATTCCACACCGACTACTTCGGCGGTGGCGGACCCACCGACCGGGACCCCGGACCCCCAAATCCGCCCCAAGGGCGCTGTCCGCCTCACTGGCGGAAGCGGGGCCGCCCCTCCCCGCAGGTCCCCCGCTCCCCAGACGCTAGAGGAACCTTCCAGCAACCACACCGCGCTCGAGAGGCCTGGAGGGCCTAACTGCCGCCAAGCCGCAAGGAGGTTGGGGCGGCAGGGGGGGTGGGGAGGGGTTTCCTCCAGACTCGCCCCACCTTCTCCTTTCCGGCTACGCTCCACTGAGCTTCCTCCTTGCCCCCTTGCCGGCGGCTCCTGGAGGAGAGAGCGCTCCCGGCAGGGTCTTTTATACCCCTGGGGGACGTCAGGCCTGCGTCACAAAGCCCCGCCCCCTCTGAGGCTCTGAAAGGGCGCGGAAGGAGGCGGGAGTTTGGCGGCCACAGCCAATGGCGAGCCGAGAGAGACAAAGGTCGGAACTCCGCAGAGCAGGGGAGTGCTTCGCCTTTTCGAGCAGAATACAAAGGGGCATAGAAAACTGGCGTCTCCACACCATGACAGGATCTCCAGTTTGGGTCTAGCTTCGAAGAAAACAGATTTACGGCAGTTTTGTTTTACTGTCACTGCATCACACTACTCACCCCCTTGTCCCCCTTATTCTGTTGCTCTCTACTTACCTTTTTGAAGAAAAATTCTGCAGATGTACACAACACACACTGGTACAATAATAGGATGCAGCACAGCACTCCTCTCAGGAAACACGCCTGCTGAGAGAGAATTTGGCATTGATCCTGAATCTTCCTGTTTCTCGTAATTCCGGATCTTGCAATACTTCAGGCACTGTATATCCTTCCCAAACCATACCATCAGCTGCAGGTTGCAAGTCCATAAGGACCGTGTGTAACTTTAGCTCCCTTTTACCCAAGTGAAACTGACTCCTTCAAAATACCCTCTGCTTTTTTACCCCGTTCGGGCTCTAATATTTGTGCTGGGCATTTAAATACCATCGGAGTCATAATGATCAAATTCCAAGCAGCCTTCGTTGTAATCCATTTCCACATGTTTAAAAAGCAACAAGAATCACTGTAAATCAACGATTAAATAACATCATCAGGGCATGTATCTGACAAAACTTTAACTTCAGACAAAATGAAGACTACCAGAGCACGTTGCAGTAACAAGCAATGTTAAAACCCTGGCATACATCTATACTGCACACACCACTTTATGAGAATATTAATTTGTCCATTACCTATTACTGAGTGCCTGTTATGTGGCAGACAAGCCCCTCCTTCTTATGAAGATTACATTTTAAAAGAAGAAATGCTCTTTTTGTGTGACTTTGAGTGTGATGATTAGATCTGCAGGTGGTACAGTTTTTGGTCCTCATCGTTGTCTTCTCGTCCCCCTCCCCCAGACTACGTAGTGTAAGTAAAAGTGAAATGAAAGTGGACGATTCCTTTCCACTTGTTCAGTTTATATTTAATTATCAAAGGTGTAATGACACTGAGCTAAGAACTCCAAGTACAAACATTAGATATCTCATTTATGGTGACTTTTGGAATGAGGGACATATACTTACGTCATCTAACCAAACTTGGTCGGTCACCTTGAACACCGATTAGGTGTTATGTACTGTGCTGAACATCTGCAACACAGAAGGCAAGCCTGTATACTTTTTCCACATTTCTGCAATGACTGTTCTGTCCAAGTTCCTCTGAAAAGCAAACTGTTACAGCAAAAGCACCTAACAAATTTTAAAACCTCTGTCTGCTGCTTCGTTTCTAGAACTCTTCGTGATCTGATGTGGCTTTACAATCTTCTTGTCTTTGTGTTCATCTCTTTTAGTCACTGGGGATCTAACTAAAATACAAACCTACTTTGTTCTCCACTGCTCCCCATCCCTCCCTGCTTCAAATCCTTACTCTATAGCAATCCACGGTTCTTGCTGTGACCTGTGTAACTATCTCATCTTACCATCTGGTTTCCACTTGACCCTCAAGAGACTGGACCTGAAGACACATGCTGTTTGTCACTCTGCGCCTCTGCTCATCAGGTCCAAGGCCTGAGAGACATCCTTTCAGCCATAATTTTCACATGACTGCATCTTTCTCCTCCTCTAAAACTCAGCTCAGCAATCTCCTACTTTAGAAAGCCAAAGGGTTACAAGCATTTTTTCCAGCCACCCCATAATATATATAACTCTGCCATATAGTTGACTCTCCTCTCAGATTTACTAAATACTTACCAAAAGATAACCTAGGCCCATCTCTCTCTAATGTATTCTATCTGCATTAGACTTATCCTAGGAGTCTGTTAAAAAGGTCTTCCTAAGGCCCTACTTTAGTTCAATCGCTCAGTCGTGTCCGACTCTCTGTGACCCCATGAACCGCAGCACGCCAGGCCTCCCTGTCCATCACCATCTCCCAGAGTCTACCCAAACCCATGTCCATTGAGTTGGTGATGCCATCCAACCATCTCATCCTCTGTTGTCCCCTTCTCTTCCTGCCCTCAATCCCTCCCAGCATCAGGGTCTTTTCCAATGAGTCAGCTCTTCGCATCAGGTGGCCAAAGTATTGGAGTTTCAGCTTCAACATCAGGTCCTTCCAATGAACACCCAGGACTGATCTCCTTCAGGATGGACTAGTTGGATCTCCTTGCAGTCCAAGGGACTCTCAAGAGTCTTCTCCAACTCCACTGTTCAAAAGCATCAATTCATCTGTGCTCAGCTTTCTTTATAGTCCAACTCTCACATCCATACATAACTACTGGAAAAACCATAGCCTTGACTGGACAGACCTTTGTTGACAAAGTAATGTCTCTGCTTCTTAATATGCTATCTAGGTTGGTCATAACTTTCCTTGCAAGGAGTAAGTGTCCTTTTTTTTAATTTCAAGGCTTCAGTCACCATCTGCAGTGATTTTGGAGCCCCCCAAAAAATAAAGTCAGCCACTGTTTCCCCATCTATTTGCCATGAGGTGGTGGGACCAGATGCCATGATCTTAGTTTTCTGAATGCTGAGCTTTAAGCCAACTTTTTCATTCTCCTCTTTCACTTTCATCAAGAGGCTTTTTAGTTCTTCTTCACTTTCTGCCATAAGAGTGTATTATCTACCTATCTGAGGTTATGGATATTTCTCCCAGCAATCTTGATTCCAGCTTGTGTTTCCTCCAGCCCAGCATTTCTCATGATGTACTCTGCATATAAGTTAAATAAGCAGGGTGACAATATACAGCCTTGACGTACTCCTTTTCCTATTTGGAACCAGTCTGTTGTTCCATGTCCAGTTCTAACTGTTGCTTCCTGACCTGCATACAGATTTCTCAAGCCCTACTTAGAAGCTACTGAATTAGTATCTCGCTGTAGTTGTAAAACTACAACTTGAGAACCACTCCAGAGTCCATCTAAGTTACAAGTGTGTTGCTTCTATTTAATATCCTGATCAACTAAGAACTCAGCCCCCTTGCTAGTTTTTCACAAGTTAGCCAAGTAGGTGAATTGTGCTCACTTTAACTGAAGGAGCCCACCTTTTAGGAACTAACTTTCCCTTTTCTTGTTCTCCCTTCCCTGTCCTTTTCTCTTTCTAAGTTTTCTAAGTATTTCCTCTTCCTAAGTTCAAGTTCAAGCCTCCCACCCGAACTATGTCTTTTCTTGGGAGGATCTGGGCCTAAAAAGATTTTTTCTATAAAATAAAACCCTGGTGGCCCAGCGGTAGACTCTGAGCTTCCACTATATGGGGCATGGGTTCAATTCCTGGTCAGGGAACTAAGATCCCACATGCCAAGTGGTGGGGCCAAAAAATATGTAAATAAAATGTACAAACAACATCCAAACAAACACAAAAAAGACATAACAAACAAAACATGACTGTGTGACCATGTATCTTCATAGGTAGGGATCCATATTTGAATACTTGCCACCACAATCTGCTTAGGGAAGCAATCAACTATGAAAGTTTACATAGCAAAGGAGTGTGTGTGTGTGTATTTCAAAAAACCATGTATGCACTGTCTTTCAATTTTAGTTGGCAGAAAGATAAAAATGCAAATTCTCTAAATAATTGACTTACACAATATAGGACAATAAATATTCTAGTTTTCTGTCACATCTGAAAGTAATAACTCTTTACTTAGCTATCATGTGCTAAAATCAAAAAGATACCTATCCCAATAAAAGTAAAATCTTAAATACATCACAGAGGTACATATTATTATGACTAGACCATGCCTCAAAGTGTGTCAGATTATAATTGTGTTCTAAGTACAGAAAATATACATTAGAGATTTCTCTCATCATAGGCACAATCTAATACAAAAATATATCTGACACTTATAAATTAGAAGGTCCACTTGACAGTCTGCAAAACAGGGAAAGGGGAAGGAATAATGCCAACATTAATAAAGCACACACAGATGCAAACATGATTATTGATTATTTTCTTCATCAGAGAAGGGTAAAGAGCAATTTACACCCAACGAGGTTTCCAGGCAGATAACAGTAACTCAAAGGTTGGATAAGTCATGGCACGCAGGCCAGACTGTTATAAATTACTCCACTCAATAATGTACTCAGATTTCAGTGGATCTAACGGCTTCGTGTACTCAGTGCAGTTTTGTTATTTTAGTATTTTCAGAACCACTGTCTACCCCTCTCGGAGCTCTACCACCAGGTTCCCAGATAAACCGCCAGGGCTATCCTGCATCAAACCTAGCAGAGACAGTTTATAAACAGATCTATAAATGGACTAGTAAAGACGACTCACTGAACAGTGTTGCAATCATGTGTATTCAGTGAAGTGAACTGAACACAGATTTATTTGAAATCCTGAGATCTCTCTGGAAAAACAAGAAGTTTTAAAGCAGTTAAAGCAGAAAAGTATGGAGCCTTATGTACTCTTTTACTACTGAATAATAAGTAGTTTGAACAATACCTGATCTGAAAATTCAAGTAAGTATGAATACTGGAGCAAGAACGTCATTCTTCCAAACGCTCCACAATCATAACTGAGAAATCTGCCATATAAACTATAAGCAAGAGGACATGAAAATGGCAAGAGCCATATTTTAAAGATTGATAACATCCTTTCCTTCAAACCAGGTATCTAAAATTTTTAGACACCAATTTTTCCCTTCAGAAGGCATCTACCTGGCTCCTGGATCTTCCCGTTCATGAAAGTAAGTAGGCATCTTTTCTTTCTGGCTAGCATCTAAAACCCATGCAGCAGTCCCACTAGAAAGAAAGTCAACGTTAATAAGCATTTTGTAAGGGAAAAAACATGAAGCAAGTTCAGCCAAAGTCAGTGAGGAGAAAGCATTTTTTTTAAGAAACTATTATTCCCTCAAAACCTGGTTAAGTAGATTAAAGCTGCCAAAGCTCTAGCTGATGCTCCCATGTTTGTTTTTAAGTGAAATATTAAAACTGTTGATATTCTATGAGATCATACTTCAGCTAAAAGGATATGTAAAACTAAATGACACCCCAAGAGAATATTCTATAGGGCACTGGAAATTTTAAAAGTAACTACCCTTAAGATTGATCCAGGTTAGTCACAAAATGATGACATAAATTCTAACATGACTGAGGTATTTAGATTCTTAGAAAACACAGGTGTGCAGTACTGAACAAAGAGGTAAATTCAATGACAATAAAAATTAGCAACAAAGGATTAAAAAATAACTTTGAAGTCTATTTACAATATCAATCACCTGAGCTAAGGGGAAAGTGATTAAATTCTGGCAACAGACAGCCCAGCAAATCCTTCACCAGCAAATACTTTGAGGCAAAAAAAATCTGTGTGCTTTCAAGAACAGCCTTTTCATGCAATTTGCTGAAAAAGCTCCAAAACCTGGAAATTAGACAATTAATCACAAAGGAAGGGAAACCCCTACATTGCAGGTATCATTAATCCTGTCTGTAGTCTAGCTCTTCTAATACATTCACAAAACAGCTATACTGTGGGCTGTAAAACTATCTTCTATTTGCTTTTATGTTGTTGGCTTTCAAAGGGAAAAAAGTGTTTGTCCTTTGAAGCATTTTTGTAGACAATCTGGAGATAAATATTTTGATGACATTTCAGCTGAAAAGTATTTTTTTTTTAATAAGGAAAACATGGAATTCTGGGTTATTAATATATTTGTTTTTACAATAAAAGAATTATTTGGTCTGTGGTCAGGAGACCTGCATTCTATTCAAGACTCTATAATAAGAGGAATAATTAATTGGAATAAGTCAATTTGCTTTTTTGTGCCTGAGTCTCATTTTCTGGACAATGGAGATTAGAATATCTGTGCTGTTACTCACTGGAATAGTTTGAGGATAAAGTAAAACTGGAAAGCATTGCTATTTTTTCAAAACACAATATAAATGCTATGTTGTGATACTGTTAATAATTTTACAGGTACTTTGTGTTACCCAGTCAGATGTGTGCTTCAGGTAGGCATTCCTACAAGATCGCAGGTTGAATATTTAGTTTACTTTTATTTTAAAAATAATAAATCACAAAACTAAAATGTTTGAACAAGGTCACTTAACCCTCTCCCCGGGTGGTTAGTTATTATTACTACCATCATCATCATCATTTTTTTTTTTTAAGCTATGTGTTTAAAAGAGGAGATCTTTAATACATCAGCCTAACTGAGGAAATGTGTCCTGGGCCCAGGTGGTTTTCGGAAGAAAAGCTGATCTTCGTAAGAGCGGTGTGCTCTGCTTTTAAAGTGCAGAACCTGTATTGGGGAGGGACACAGCAGGAACTTGGGGTCTGTCACTGAGGAACCAGTTCCCTCATTGAGGCCAGGGCAGCATGAATGCGGACATGCAACCTGTTTTCAAAGTCGTAGCCAGAGAACTCCTCCTGCAAGACCAGAGAGAGAGACTATTAGCTAAGCTGTCGGTACGACTACAGTATTAATCACACCGCACTGTGTGCTTCCCACAGTCAAACTCCTTATGCGCCTAATAACGGCTTCACATTCACTTGATGTTTTTTTTTTTAATTCCCCAAACTTCAAATTCTTCTGTTTTTAAAATGTCAACTGAATGTTATTAAATGCTGTCTTTGGAAAATTTCCCTCATGTTATTCCTGAGACAGCAGTCTGAAGCTGGGCTCAGTGGAAGTTACTGCTAAACTTCTTAACTCAAGAACACAGCTGTGAAATCAAGTTATTTTCCCACTCAAACAAGAAGAGTTTCTATAAAGCATGATGAGCAATTTCATATGAATTTTTTTGTGTAATTTTACTTAAAAATCAACTGCTCACTGATTCAGTTATGACTTTCCTCTCCAGAAATATTATCAATCAGGACAATTGTTTCATTTTTACCTTTGCTTGAAGAAGGAGAGCTCTGCCTCTTCCTACAGTCTATGAATATAAGAAAAATACATTATCTCTTAACACCTATGTTTACATATACTCAAGCACAAAATGTTGTAATAGAAGATTTGTTAATTCCAACAATTCACAGTGACCTAAAGGGGAGTAGACTGCTCATTCAAGTATAATGACTCAATTTTTCTTTAATATAATGTTGTTTACATCAAGGAATTACTTGATAATTTTTCATAATTTTAAGTATTATTCTGTAAACAAAAGAGTTAAAATAGTTTAAGACCCTACTAAACAATCTAAAATTGATCATTTATTTGAAGTCAGTAAGTTAGATCTCTTTTTAAAGGCAATACTAATTGAGAACAATCAGCTTCATTTTTCAAGAGGTAAATCATACTTTTTGTATTTTATGTATATGTATTTTAGGCTGCATTTAGAGTGAAAAATTTCTTTAAAGAATATGGTGTTAGAAATTTCTACCAAAATTCATAAAAACTGCATTTTCTATTTTGGTAAAATTAGAATTTCAAATGAGAAGGCTTATCAATTAAAAGCCTATCTTTGGCAAGACAGGTGACATATTTAAGGATTAGGCTAGAATATTTGTTGATTTAGCTCAACTTTTAAAAAATCCATATAGTTGAAAGCTGACTTGAACTTATTGAAACTTAGAATTTTATACAGTCAATATTATGTAACTGAGCTTCTAAAAGAAGATATTAAGCAAATCCAGCACTATTAAAATTCTGTTTTTAAAAACTGCTCCATTGTGTTTAAATATACATCTTAATAATCCATCAAATTTACAAGGTATTCTAAAAAATTTTAAGTAATCCTACACACCATCCTCATTTATTCTCACTACAGTCTTTATTAAATTGGAAAGGCAAGTATTTTTTATCTTGTTTTATAGATTAGGAACAAAGTATATGGTTAAGTAACGTAACTGGTATCATACACTAAAAATAAATGATAGCACTAGGATCACAATGTAATTCTGTATTCTTCTGAATAAACCACATTACATAATATTATAGCACTCTAAAAAAAGACAATGATTTTGCCTCAAATGAATTTTTGTTCCAAAAGCTATGTTTATCATTGTAACTCCAGGAAACAGATTACCTCCTTCAACACAGTAAGATAGGATTAGTAGCTTTTTGGATTCATCCCATGTGAAATCAAGGGAAACAAAACAACAACAAAAAAACCCAACTTGTTTTAAATAAAGGATGTTTTGTGCCTGTCCACTTCCACAGTTTTGCTGATGAACACTATTTAAGAAAACAGGATCTTACCTCTGGTTTGTCTAACAGAAGACAGCCAAGTTCATAGCAAGCATATGGCTGAACGTATAAGTTATTCTGACGACACAATTCATCTTTGACAGCTCGCTGAAAGAACTGAAAGTAATACAGATGTTATTGGAATGAACTAACAAAATTGTCTGCCTCCTCACTTTCTCCTCTACCAATTGGGACTGTCATGTTTGATAAACAGCTAGTGCCAGAAAAGGAGCCCATAGGTGAAGAAATATTCAAAGGCTCTGAAGTCACATTAAAAACGAACATGAACCATCACCAACTTCTGGCATCTGAAGAGGATGATCTTCATCTAATAAAGTGGATGAAACTCACACTGTGATGGGAGACTGGCTTTGTGTAATGCTGTTTCCTTTTTCTTACTCACAAGCCCATATGTAGTTTTTCATAGTTCAGTTCCTTTAGCTATGACACCACATGAACAGTTTACCTGAACAGCATCTTCTGAGTTCCCTAGACATTTGTGTATGGCACCAAGAAGCAAATACTTTAATCCAACGACAGATGAGTCATCTACTCCATGGCAAGCTTAAAGAGAAGTAAAGACAGCAAGAAGGGAATACATTCACTTAAATATCATCAGGAGTTAAGAATCTCATTGTTTAGCAACTTACTGAGTTCAAACTGAGAAGGTTTCCCTTCCTCACCCATTAGTGAGTCTCCTTAGTCCAAGAAAGTGATGATCTTTCTTGTGCCTGCCAATTACTATTTTATATTTGCATGTGTGCTTGAATTATCTCTAAATACAGAGCCTACACTTGTGCATTCAAAAGAATATAGTCCCTAAGATTCTTCACTGTTCCTTTGAGTTAGACATTGGTAGATATTCCAAACTTGCATCAATAACCAGGAATGGGTTTTAAATTATGAATCTTTTTAAACAACAGAGCAGAACTTGCACATCCAAAAACAATTTTATTTCCTTTCAAGTAATCTCCTTGGGAGGGTTACACACCTACTCTAATTACAGGGCCTCTAATTACACAACTCCTCTTTTGGAGTTGTGTTACTCTGCTCTGGAATATCAATACTGACAAAACTTTTTGACCTTTGAGAGGAAACCTGTTTTTTTCTTAATAAGCAAAAGGCATCTGCAGAGAAGTCTGATGATAAAAGCATGAGATTCAGGGGCTTCCCTGGTGGCTCAGTGGTAAAGAACCCATCTGCCAATGCAGGAGACATGGGTTTGATCCTTAGTCTGGGAAGATCCCACCTGCCGTGGAGCAACAAAGCCCGTTTGCCACAATTACTGAGCCTGTGCTCTAGAGCCCGGGAGCTGCAACTACTGAAGCCCCTGCACCCTAGAGCCTGTACTCTGAAACAACAAAAGGCCGCTGCAATGAGAGGCCCACGCCCTGCAATGAAGAGCAGCCCCCACTCCTTCCCCATCTAGAGAAGTGCCCGCATGCAGCAACAAAAAGACCGAGATGAGCCTAATTCCACTGGAATTCAATGGAAAATGCTATATTTGATCACAAACAAGTGTCACTGCAGAACAGTCCAATAAATTTGAGTCCAAAATATTAATACAAAATCAATTCTGGAGAAGGGCAGCATATACGTGAGATGACATTTCCAAAGGTAGTTTTGAGATTAATAACCCCGATGATCGGAGCATCACAACACACTCCTGAATCTGTCCTTTCCAGTGCTTTCTATCCCCAATACCTAAGTGATGGAATTTTCTTAACCACTAGGCCATGTGTCCCAGACAGTGACAGATCTGCACTCCCTGAGTCAGAGCAGATGAGTGAGACACTGAGGGAACAGGCTGCGGTGTGTACTTCGTTTTTTACCTTGACTCATCCTCTGTAGGTTGGGGGGGGAGCAGTTGGGGAGGGCCTTCCACAAGTACAACACTTCGATGGATGCCAGCACGCAGAGCGCTCTGGTTGGGGTTTGTTTCCGAAATCTCTCTGCCTGCAAGCAGTTAGAATGATTAGGCTACATTTAAAAAAAAAAAAAAAACTAAAAAATAAATACTTCAGAGACATTAGAAAAATGCATGGTTCATATTTAATATGAACAATCCCCTCACACAAAGCTAAAAATGAAAATTTGTCTCTTAATTTTGCTTCCTTATTTTTGTTATATTGGTAGATATGCCTTTCTCTCATTCAATTTAATCTACTGGCGAGATCCAGGACATATTTTAAAAACTGCAGGATGAAACCAGAATCATTTCGGTTTAGGTCAAAGGAACATATAGAAGCTGGGTGAGATATTAACTCAATGGGTTTATATGAAGGCTGTAATACTAGAGGCCTTTTAGTTACATTTTATTGACTTTTTAGTTTTCTATTTAGTCCCAGTCCTCTTGGAGGAATTCCCCATTACAACCCAGTTTATACTCACACTAAGCCATTAAATGTTCATTCAATAAAAACTTCCAACTAAAAACATGCAGAATTTAGGATATGACAAGTTGTCCTATAACCTATGGTAATTCAGCTAAACTTTATTCTTAGAAAAGTACAAAAATAAATGAAGGCCTCTCTCACTACAGTCCTGGGCCTTTCTGTTGGTCAATTTGATGCATGCTCTTGCTTTTTATTCCTCACCCATTGTGATGGTTTCACTAGATGAGAACCTAGAGTGTGTATCTCTTGCCCAGGTTCTGCTGATCTGCACTCCTCTGAGGCTACCTCACCCTTCAGATATATGCTCTCCCTCTCCAGGGGCTCCTGAGCTCTGCAGGGCTGGTAATGTCTCTGTTCATTCAAAGAAACATTAGCTTTAACTATTTGCAACCAACCAATACTCTGCATTCGGAGCAGGATGACTGTGAGAGAACATTCTCTCACAGTCATGAGCTACTTGCTCAGCAAGGAGATCAGCTTTGCACAGGATCTTCTAATTTCCTAGGATTTCCATTTGTTGTCCAAGGTGACCATGGTTAGAAATATCCATTATAAACGACACACCAGATCAACAGATTCCGACAAACCTTTTTCACAGAAAACTGTTCAATCTGATTGTTTTTCCTTTTGAAGAGCTTCTGAACTTCTTTGAAGACAATCTGTGCCCCGTCCACATCACCGGTGGCTCCCTGGCAAACTGTAAGAAACCATCGCCATAATCTTTAAAGTATTTAGGGGGAAAATACCACCAAGGGATACCCAGGTTGATGACACTTGAAAAAGATTATTACCGAAGGAGAAAATGGGAGGAAATATTTTTAAAGACTGTTACATGTGGGACTACACCAACCTGCTGATCATCATTCCACTGATTCAATAATTATTTCCCAGCTGCTAGGTTCCCTGAGCTTCACAGGAACATGTTGGGAAAACTATGGTCCTAGATATTGTCACAGAACACAGTCCAGTGAGAGCTCACACACTTGGAAAGTGGAAGAAAAATGAGATCTAGGCAAGAACAATGAGGAGCTGGGAGGACTGTGAAAGCTTCACACTGGTAGAGGGATATCCCTGTGGCTGGAAAGAAAGGCATGAAGTGGTCCTGTATGGTGCACTGTCATGAAGTAGTCACAGGTGTGTTCATTGGGCACCTACTACCTACAGCCACCATCAAGGATGTGAAGAAGAAATATACATGTTTACACCCAGAAGAAACCTGAATTTAAGCTGGAGAGAGAACACCCACAATTCCAGAGCTACAGTGGATGCAGTGAAGAGAGCCTTTGGAGTCCTGGCATCAAAGTTACTTTCAAAAAGCTCAACATGGGAAGGGATGGTTTCTCTTTGGAGTGACCGGACAGCTCTGAGGAACAAGCAGTCAAGGTGAGCCTTGGAGGGGGCTAAGATTTTGATCTTCATCTACCCCAAGCCCCAGGCAAAGACTCAAATCACACTGCCTCTGCTTCACCTGCCCTCTCCCTTCTCCAAACTTCAAACCAGGCTGCAGTCCCACCTCCTCAATCTGACTTGACCAACCACTCTTTGTCATCCTCTTTGCAACTCCCATGACACTGAATTCCTTTCTATTAATTTCTTGTTGATTTTGTCTTTGGCACATACTGTTTTTCCAAGCTCCACTTGGAATGTCCATTGATTTGCTAGTTCTTCCTTCTTTATTTGAGCGATCCTAAAACTAGATGGTCCCATTCTCACATTTTGGGGCTTGGTCAAGCCGGGCACAGGGCTGTGGCATGTCAGAGAATGAGCAGCTACTAAAAGGTCAAAGAAATACAAGCAGCAAGGCTTGGAGAAAGCTGAGGACACCAAGGTGATGGGAAAAAGCAGAAAAGCAGATTTCTACTGGGAATCACTGGGATTAGCCTGAATATGAAAAGGGAGAGATAATCCCATTCCCAGTTTTGGAAGCAGCACTGGTCCGGATGTGGGGTCTGAACCCATCCAAAATGACCTCATCTGTTGTGTTACAACATTCCAAAACCAGAAGGAAGCTCGGTGGTTGTTTTGTAAAACAACTCCATTGTATTATAGACCCAGGAAAGTTAAAAGACTTGCCTGAGGTCACACAGTAAATCAACGAAAGAGAGTAATTTCTGCTGCCCCTAGCTTGAGGTTTCCTTACATAACTGATATTATTATTATATAGTCACACAATTTTTTAAAAAGGAATGAGCAAATGTGGGCACACAAGAGAGTCATAAACATCAACAGCATCTGGATCTGAATCACCTCTGCAGGTCGACAACACTAATACCTCAGATCCTCAAGAATATATATACCACTTCCTTTTCATAAGTTATAGACAGTTGCCTCAAAGGATGCAGATATTAGAAAGCATGAGCATCTCTGATTTATCCTAAGTCTGAGACCTACACAGACTTAGGATGCTTGGCCTGTCCACTAGGACTAAGCTTTATTGTTGTTGTTAAGTCGCTAAGTTGTGTCCGATTCTTTTGCAACCCTATGGACTGTAGCCCATTAGGCTCCTCTGTCCACGGGGTTTCCAGGCAAGAATATTGGGGTGGGTTGTCATTTCCTTTTCCAGGGGATCTTTCTGGATCAGGGATCAAACCTATGTCTCCCCCACTGGCAGGTGGATTCTTTACCAGTGAGCCACCAGGGAAGCCCTTAAAGCGATATTCTAATCTTTGATGGGTAACTTATTTTTTATGTAATTTCAAACGTGTAGAAAATTTGCAAGAATAGTATAAGGATATGGTCCAGCCATCCCACGTCTGGGTAATGTACTAAATGGCATTGAAACCAGGGTCTCAAAAAGAACCACATACCCAGCAGCATCATTCACGACGGCCAAAGGGTGCAAACAACCCATGTGTCCCCGGACAATGAACAAATAAAACATGTTTTGTTTGGTTAAAACATGGTCTGTACACACAATGGAATATTATTTAGCCTTAAAAATGAATGAAATCCTGACACATACTACATTATGGATGAACCTTGAGGACACTATGTTAAGTGAAATAAACCAGATTCAATCAACAAATACTGTTGAGTCCACTTACTCAAGGTACCTAGAAAAGTCAAATTCATGTAGACAGAAAGAGCAGAGTTTATTAGGGGTTGGCATGGGCGGGGGGTGGGTAGTTCTTGTTTAAAGATCAGAGAGTTTCACTCCTAAAAGAAAAGAGGGGAATGAAAGAGTCAATTCCTAGGTAGGTTGATAAGAAGTCCCGGGTCCCTGAAGAGGAGAAAGGGGTCTGGGGGCTTTTGAGAAGGGGACAGAGGTCTGGAGTTCTCAAGAAGGAGAAAAGGACAAGTGCTTTTTTCTACACTGCTTTGTCTTAAGTCAGTGTAACTATATATCATGTTTCTCCTTAACAAGAACCTTCTAACTAATCTTGTTATCTTAAGAAGTATGTTGTGGGAGTGGATCTGGTAAGACCTTTCTATTGTTAGTTCTAATCTTGTTAATTTAAGATGTATGTTGTGGGAATGGGTCTGGTAAAAGTATATAAGGCTTTGATTAAGACTAGCCGGGGGGCACTCCCCATCCCCCTTCTGATGTCTATGTCAGAAGATTTCTCTGTCCCTTTTTCACTTTAATAAAACTCTGCCACACAAACACACAAAAAATAAAGATCACAGAGTTTCACTTTTCAAAAAGAAAGCTGGACAGTGATGATGGCTATCAAAGAATTAACTTAATGCCACTGAACCACACACTTAAAAATGGTTAAAACAGGGAATTCCCTGTCAGTCCAGTAGTTAGGATTCTGGGCTTTCACCTTCAGAGGCCTGGGAAATAAGAGTCTGCAAGCCGTCCAGTGTAGCCCCCCCAAAAATTTTTTTAATGGTTACAGTAGATTTTACATTATGTATATTTTACCATAATTTAAAAAAACCTCTCAGCTATAAGATGAACAAGGTTTGAAGATCTACTGTATAATAACATGGTGACTACAGATGATAATACTGTATTGTATAATTGAAATCTGCCAAGAGTAGGAAAAAAGACAAAAAAAGAAAAATGATAAAAAAACAAAAAACAAGGAACTAAGTCCCCAGTGGCAGTATTTCCAGTCCCTTCATGCCCATCTTCTCAGGCGCTGCCTATAACACATACCAGTCCTTCAAGCCAACTCTGATAACAGCTCCTGCAAGCAGCCTGCACCGACAGTTCAACAGCAAGCCTCCCACACCTCCCTGAGCCCTCTTTATGTGGCGCTCTTCACACATCATTTTCACGAAACCCCCGTGGAGAGGTGGAGACTGGAGTCTTTCATGCTTTATCATCTCCTACAACTGGTGTGATCCTGGGATTTCCAGTGAGAATAAATGCTCCTCTGTAGAGCCACACTGTACATTTATTTCTTCATGCTCTATGCTCCACAAAGATTTTTTAAAAATACATAGCTCATCACCTTTCTAGATTCCGTATATATGCGTTAATATATGAAACTTGTTTTTCTCTGACTTCACTTAGGTTCATCCACCTCATTAGGACTGACTCAAACGTGTTCATTTTTGTGGCTAAGGCATGTCCTATTGTATATATGTACCACAGCTTTAACCATTCATCAAGCAAAGGAGACCGTAGACACAGAACAGACTTGTGGACACAAGGTGTGAGAGGAATTGAGAGTAGCATGGAAACGTGTAACTGCCCCATGTAAAACAGGCAGCCGGTGGAAAAGTGCTGTATTACGCAGGGAGCTCAAATCAGGCACTGTGCGGCCACCTAGAGAGGTGGGAAGGGGTGGCAAGTTCAGGAGGGAGGGGACATATGTATACCTGTGGCTGATTCATGTTGATGTATGGCAGAAACCAACACAACAGAGTAAGGCACTTATCCTCCGATTAAAATAAAACAAATAAATAAATAGCTGCCCACACTGACTACGTGACCCCATTACACCACGAAGACAGCAGCCTCTCTGTCTTGGTTCATCACCGTGCAGAGCACACCACGTCCACTCAATGAACAGCTGCAACTTTCATCTGAGATGCCTCTGAGTTCCGTAAACCAACCCTTAAAGCATCCCAGCAGCATACTGAAAATAATCCTACTCAAACCTCAACAACAAGAGCCAGATGAAAATGGATTAAAACCCTGCGGGATCTATAGGAAGACCTGCGGGTGTAAGGGCTTCCATCCTGATTGCTAATGGACTGCAGTTCCAGAACATTCTGGATATACACACGAGTCACTGTTAATTTGTCCCCATTTTAAAGAGGCCAGTTACAGGGATGGAATGACAGGAGATGTTCTGTTAAATGCAAACCTTCAGAGAAATAAGAATATATCTAAAATAATGCTTGGATCAGTTTTAAATGTTAAGTAAAAGAATCGCTTCTGTGGGTGTGTCAGGAGAGCTCACTGTTAGAGGCAGGAGAAGTACACTCCCTGGGTCTCTTCAATCCCCACCCTAAACCATTCGGCATCCCACAGGCAATGCATGGGGCTCAGGGCACAGGCAGCTGTCTGTCCACCAGGTGGCAGCGTGTCTTTACCGATCTGTTCATTGAAGGGAAAAGGGCAATGCACACATACTCTTGTCAGAAAGCATAGGTCGTTTCTGCCACAATGACACGCAGTGTTGAAACATGTTGTGCTCCACAAAATCACACTAATTATAACAGGGTTAAGAGGCAAAACAAGGCTGGAACAGACTACTCAAAACCTGTGCAACTCAAAACGAGGGCACTAACAATGCAGATGAAGATATGAACACGATTTAAAAGACACGTTCAATGCTTTAAAATTCTTTAAGCACCTAATAAATGAAAAATAGATTTGAGGAGAAAAAGGAGAGGGGTGAGGGTAAGTTGAGGCTGTTTAGGACAAAGCGTACAAAAACAAGAAGCTCACAACAAGCATGTCCAGGGCCCAGCATGTGACGGACCCAGCCCTGGGGGGACACGGGAAGGGGCAGGGCGTGTAGCATCGAACTTCCCACCATTCCACTGTGTGGGTGGGAGCGGTATTCAGCCCCTATTCACTTGCAGTCCAAAACAGTACTTTACCACTTGATCTGAAGATCTGACTCACTGGAAAAAGTCCCGATGCCAGGAAAGATTGAGGGCAGGAGGAGAAGGGGACAGCAGAGGACAAGACGGCTGAATGGTATCACTGACTCAATGGACATGAGTTTGAGTAAGCTCCGGGAGATGGTGGAGGACCCAGGAGACTGGTGTACTGGAGCCCATGGGGTCTCAAAGAGTCAGACACAACTTATCGATCTGCATCCTCTGCCCGTCACTCTCCATCCAACAACAAGAGGGAGCTAGTCTGAGACAGAGGAGGGCGTGCGTGACCATGTGACCTGGGATCCACTCACCTGCAGTTAGGTAGGCATAATAGCACTGGGACCACCGGGACTCGTTTTTTAGCCTCTCAAAGGAATTGAATGCATCCTTGAAATTCAGCTCTATCATGCTGCACCAACCTGTGAAAGAGATGTTTTTAGAAAAGGATCCTAAAACAACAGAGGCTTCCCTAGTGGCTCAGTGGTAAAGAATTTGCCTGACAATGAAGGAGACACAGGTTCGATCCCTGGATTGGGAAGATCCCTTGGAGAAGGACATGGCAACCCACTCCAGTGTTCTTGCCTCAAAAATCCCATGAACAGAGGAGCCTGGTGAGCTACAGTCCATGGGATCGCAAAAGAGTCAGACCCGACTTAGTGACTGAACAGCAAAATAACACACTTTTCAGCTCATCCTGTAGGTTACACATCTCTCATCCTGCTGACTTCCTCTGCAAGTATTCCATGAAAACCACCTGAGAACTTCATAATTCTCTTTTTCTTCCTAAACATTTTCAATGGGATGCTTTGAGGAAGACAGGGCATCTCTGATTTCACAACCAGTGAGGCAGTATAGAAGGGAGGGGAGTGAAGATTTTGAGAAAAATGGTCTAATTTGTCTCCGGTTGTGCAATAAACCTAAGCACAGCAGCGCTTCCCTCCTAAGAACAGGCAGAGAGAAAGGGATGACGCTACTAGATTATATAACACAGTGACCACCTTGGAAGTCTCACACACTCACCAGTGAGTTCATGATCACTGGTAATTAGCAAACTGCTCAGAGGAGTAGAGAGCAAGCCAGTGAGACATTAAGTTCTTGCCACCCTCCCTCTGAGGGGCAGAGAAAGGACCCAGCCCTCTCGGAGCAAAACATCCTTGGGCTGGCATCCTGGGGGTGGGTAGGGGTGGGCAGAAGCAACAGCAGCAAACATATAAGGAGTTTTATCCTCTCCTGTTAGTAACAGCAGCTCCCCATCATAGAGCCAGCCCTGTGTGTGCCAGGCACCTGATGTAATTCTCTCTAATCCCAGTGCAGTCTCAGAAAGGTGGCTGATGGTGCCGCACATGACCAAGGAGAAAGCCTAAGGCACGAAGAGGCTTTGTGACTTGCTCAGGGTCACACGGCTTAGAAGAGGGAAGGGCTGAGGATCAAAGGCCATCGTGCTCTTCTGTCTGAGATCTACCTAACAAATTCTGTTATCCACTGCATTACAAGGTAGTCACGTCACCTTACACCCTACAGGGATGAGGGGAAGCCACACTTCCAGGAAATTCAGCGTCAAACTCCATGGGATATGATATGAAGTTGATGTATTTTAGAGTAAAACCTGGGGCTAATTATTTCCATCCTAAAATAGACTTCAGGGTAAGATTTGGGTTCAGTGCAAAAGTAGAGGCAGGAGGTAGCACCAAACCAGAATAAGGCGGCTGAGTTCTGATTGCACTGTTCCCACCCCCTACCCGTACCCCAGGTTAACCCTCCTAAGTCCCTAGCACTAGGTTCCATGATTTCTAAGCTTTCTTCAGCTCTAACATTCTGCCCCACCACAGGCCCAGAAATGGTGCACACACAAGAAAAGGCCACCATGATTGGTTTGCAATATATATAGTATCAAATCTTTATGTTGGACACTTTTACTATAATGTTACATGTCAACTCTATCTCCATGAAACTAGAAGAAAAAAAAGAGTATCCTAAAGAAAAAACATGAAAGGTCACCAAAGCTAGTCTTCAAGTTCTATACTACTTCATCAGTTGTGAAATTAGAGATGCCTTGTCTTCCTCAAAACATCACAGTTACCGTGTCTCATATTCCATTCCATATTATGGCTACAAACCAGAGCTCCAGCAGAGCTGGTTGTTGTTGTCTAGTTGCTAAGTCATGTCTTTTTTGTGACCCCATGGACTGTAGTCCGCCAGGCTCTTCTGTCCATGGGACTTCCCAGACAAGAATATTGAGAGGGTTGCCATCTCCTTCTCCAGGAGACCTTCCTGACCCCAGGATCAAACTCGAACTTCCTGCATTGGCAGGTGGGTTCTTTACCACTGATACATCAGGAAAGCCCCCCAGCAAAGTTTAGACTACAGAAAAAATGTATTTCCCACTGGATCACACTTAATCTTCACTTTCTAAGCTATAACAGATGTATAAAACATAATACTGTTTATTGGGCAGTTCTCAATTAGCACTCTTCTTTAAAAAAAAAAAAAAGATTCAGGAAGACAAATACATCTATGGCAGGCAAGCAAGCGGCAGGCACTGTAAGGTCCACGCTGCCAGGTGACAACTGCCTCCCCAGGCTTCCCCCATCTCTTCTTTTGTCTCTGATGACAGCCTTTGGAGTCTCAATTTCCCTTTTGGTTCTCATCACCATCTCATCTTTTCTCCCATCTCTGCCCCCCGCTTCATTCCTGGTACATGTGCTATATACAGTGTGACCTTGCAGTCTTGGCTCAAACTCTAAAAAGCATGAATCCCTTACTAAAATTTGTTCCTGTTGTTTCAAGTCCAAAGTTGTGTTTATGCTTCTCAGCATAATTAAGCCACTGTCACAGTCAAGGATTATGGAATCACTAATGTATTTTAGTGCAGTCAGCCAAAAAAAAAAAAATCATAGCAACAGCTTTGGCAGAGGGGAGAGGGGGGCTAAATCTTGGGCAAACAAATGCCTCCAGGCCTGTCTATAAATGCATCTCCAGGAGGGGAGAAGCAGGAGGAAGTGGCTAACACGTGTGCCAAGCACCTTGCCTCACGCTCACTCGGGTACTTTCATCTAAACCACACAGCTGCTCCAAGGGCTATTGCAGGGCAAAGTCTCCTAGTTAGCTGGTGGAACAGTTAACTGGGCTTGGAATCTGTGCACCCAAACTCTCCTGAGCCGGACTTCTCCTCTCAGGTGCACACCGGTGGGAGGGAAGAGATAACAGCTCTAAATTCTAATATCCAGTCCAATAAAAGAGTCAAAATTGGTTCTGACTCAATTCATTTAACTATGCTTATTAGCTTAGAGTCAAATCGTCAAAGGAACAGATTACTGGAAAGAAGTAATGAGAATTCACTGAGATAAGTATCACTACTTGCGCTATAGTAACAAAGTCCTGTTATTACAAAAGGCAGCCGGCATTTCACAAAGACACAAACTGAACAGCATTTACAGTGACGAAGCCCACAGGAATGCATTAACACTTGCAGGACAAGAAGCTGGACAGAAACTGCTGTGTTAATATACTATTTCATGACAGGAGGCTGGACCGACATTCAACACTTACCAATTTCATAGAGACAAACATGCTGGATTTCTCTCTGGTCTACTGCAAGTTCCAGAGCAGTATGGAAGGAAGTCAAGGCACTGTTGATTTGACACTAAGGAGGAAAATGAAAACAGAGTCATTGGCTTAAGAGCTATCATTAACACTGCGACAGAGGATGAGATGGTGGGATGGCATCACCGACTCAAAGTTCATGAGTTTGAGCAAGCTACGGGAGACGGTGAAGGACAGGGAAGCCTGGCGTGCTGCAGTCCACGGGGTCGCAAAGAGTCTAACGCGACTGAGCGACTGAACAACAAAAGTGTTGTTTTCCCAAATTCAAAAGCATCTTTTCCCTTCTAGTTACTTTAAACAGATTAAGCAGTTATAGAAGAGAGTGATTTAAAGACTTCTGGGGAAATGGCCCGGTCCATGGCTGGGAGCTAAACAGCGCTCAGAGACTTCTTCTGCTCAGCCAGAAAGACCTCCGGGAGGGCTTGGCCCACAGCCCCTCCTGTCCCGGGGGCTCTGGTGGACTACAGTGATGAGCTTATCTGGCTCCTCAGTACAGGTGACTTCGACAGGAGAGGGACTGTATGTCCTCCTCCTGTGTATATCCACCGGACCCAAGAGATTCGAAGTTAGCACTGTCGGGAGCCAGTCCCCGGGTCCAGCCTCAGCCCCTCTCCCTTTTGGGATCCCCCTCACTCTCGACCCCACAACTCAGGGCTGTTGTCAGATTGCTTCCGGTCATCACCTCTCTTCTCTGGACACTTTAGAAACTGAGGATCCAGATTTTACTTCCTACTTTTGCATTCATCCAGTACTGTCTAGAACCGAGAGACTCATCAAATGTCTGTCCTGCTCTTTCCTGGTTAAATACATTTAGTTTTTCCTTCCACGAAAGATCTCTTTCAAAGTCTGCTGATCCGAGGCCATAAGCAACTGGTAAGAACACCTAAAAGGCATCATCAGGATGAAAGGGAGGTAGATTAAACCCTAAATATGGCAATGACAGGTGTTAAGTATCACATAGCACTAAGGAATATAAATCCTAAATGTCCCGAAGTCCTGACGCATGTTTAGAAGTGTTCCTTTCTCCCTCCCGTGGGTGCCTGCAAAGCGATGCTCATCCGCCCTGTCCTCAGCCCTCCATCCTGTGCATCTCCCCTCACTGCTCCCCAGGAGCTCCCTTTCCGATGCTCAGGCTGCCTCTTCTCCCCACAAGCAGCCAGACTGGGGCATGAAGGGTCTAAGAAGAGGGGCTGTTGGTCCCCTGAGCCCAGCCTCCACCACATTCCTCAGTGCCATGAGGCCCGATCACTGCAGGAGGCCCCTGGACCCTACACAGGGCACAGATGAGTCAGCGAGGAGATGCGCAGGACAGTCTGCGACTCAGGAGCACTGGGAGCCAAATGACTCAGGACCCAAGGCCAGTAACTGCTCCTGCCCCATGGTGACACTTCACTCTGCCGGCAGCCAGCTTCACACTGAGCGCTCAGTCACCCCCCCAAGAGCTTGCCAGGCAGCCACAGCACACACACGTGTGTGAGTGTGCCCCACTAGCTCGTATTCTCAAGGAGCTCAACACCAAGTTGAGGGGACCCTCACAGGAATGAAACAAGCGCCCTTCTCTGACCTCAAGATGTTTACACTGATTTTGAGCACAAAGCCGAGATATATGTGTGTGTGTGTGTGTGCAGGCGCGCGCGTGTATGCATGTGTTTAGTTGCTCTGTTGTGTCTGACTCTTTTTCGACCCAAAGGACCGTAGCCAGCCATGCTCCTCTGTCCATAGGACTCTCCAGGCAAGAATACCGGAGTGGGTTGCCATCTTCTCCTCCAGTGGATCTTCCCAACCCAGGGATGGAACCTGCATCTCCTGTATTGCAGGCAGATTCTTTACTGCTGAGCCACTGGGGAAGGACACAAAGCCAAGATACCGAAGGTAAAAAAATCAATCTCTGATGAAAAGCACGTGTGTGGAAAGATCTGTACACTCGTCACGCCCATTTATAACTTTCTCGATCAATCGTTCCTTCCTGGACCTTCCTGGTGGTCTAGTGGTCAAGAATCCATCTGCCAATGCAGGAGACGCAAGTTTGATCCCTGGTCTGGGAAGATGCCACAGATCAACTGAACTGAGCAACTGAACCTATGCACCACAACTTCTGAGCCTGTACTCTGCAACAAGAGAAGTCACAGCAACCAAAAGCCAGTGCAACTAGAAAGCAGCCCCCCAGTTGCCACAATAGAGAAAGCCCGCACAGCAATGAAGACCCAGCACAGCCAAAAAAAAAAAGTTCTTCCCTTGCATCACACGTACACTCAACTTAGCCCATTTACACAGAAACCACAGTGTTAGGGTCTCTGCTTTGCATGGATCTCCTGTTTCCCAAGTTAATGGCTCTCAACTCTCACACAGGGATGGGCCATCACTACCGAGCTGACCCCAGCAGATGGCAGTGCTATGCCACACTGCCCTTCAGAGGGCAGAAAACTACTCAGTCAACATTTGTCAGTCAACTACTGTGCTCAGGATGGAATGGGCTCCGGAGATACACAGATGAGTCAAAACTAAGCTGTGAACTCAAGAAAATAAGAAACCAAGTAATAGCTGAATCAACATTATTTCCCTTAACCCTTTCAAAGAGTCTGAGGTAGGTGTGTATTAGTTCCATTTTCAGATGAAGGCACTGAAGTTCAAAGAGGTTAAGTAGCTTGGCCAAGGTCAGGGGCTAGGAATTGACTAGTATGTAAATTCTGCTCCAACTGCCTCCAGAGCATGCATTCTTCAGGAAGACGGATGCAGGTATGATTAAATGAAGGATCTGGAGAAGAGGGCCAGTTCCTGGATTATCCAAGAGGGCACTAAATGCAATCAACAGTATCCCTACAAGAGGGAAACAGAGAGAGAGCTAATGCAAGTAGGTGGTGGTTTAGTTGCTAAGTCGTGTCCAGCTCTTGCCGCCCATGGACTGGAGACCACCAGGCTCCTCTGTCCTTGGGATTTCCCAGGCAAGAATAGTGGAGTGGGTTGCAGTTTCCTTCTCCAGATCTTCCTGACCCAGGGATTGAACCTGGGTCTCTTGCATTGTAGGTAGATTCTTTACCATTTGAGCCACCAGGGAAGCCTGATTGAAGTAGAGACGGTGGCATTGTGACCACAGAGGCAGAGATCGGAGAGGTATGGCCACAATCCAGGAATCTACATGACCACCAGAGGCAAAATGCAAGGAATGGAGTTTCCCTACAGCCTCCAAAGGGCGCACTGCCCACCTCCCTGATTTGTACCCAGAGAAACTGACTTTGGACTTCGAGCCTCCAGAATTGTGAGAGAGAAAATTTCTGTCATTTTAAGCCATGAAGTTTGTGCTAATTTGTTAGAAACGTCTTGGGAAACCAGAGCAGTACACCTCTTTAAAGATTAAAGTGTGGGGATTTCCTCCATGGCCCAGTGGCTAAGACTCCAAGCTCCCAATGCAGGGGGCCCAGGTTTGATCCCTGGTCAGGGATCTAAGATGCCACGTGCGGCAACTAAGACCTGACACTGCTAGCCAGATAAATAAGTAAATCAATAAAATAAAAATTAAACTGTGAAGAAAGTCCCAGGCTCTTTGTATTATAAGCACCCAAACAGAATTGGAAAGTACTGAGACCATTGATGGAGCTTAACAGCATTATCCCAGGAGCAAGCATAGCTACAAAATTAATTCCACTTCTATTCTGATCACTCATTAAGGAATTACGATGAACAGCCATTAAAATTGTAGAAATATATTTCCCTCTTTTCACCAAAACAATTTAAAACAAAAGTGATCTGTGGGAATCCTTATGGTTACAAATTAAAATATCCACAACTCAGCAGAGAAAGGAGGATTATTCTCAATTTGACACTCAATTCCCAGCTTAATTTTTAAAGAAATACATGTACCCTGAAGAAAATATAGAAAATAGATTAGTATGAAAAAGCTAGGACATCAAGAGTTAGTATCACACAGGCTTCTATCTCATGAATTGTGCCCTGATACACTGTGTCACAAAAACGACTACAAGTCTCAGTTTCCTTACTGGTAAAAGGAAGGAAAAAACGTTGGCAAGCTTTAATCTGCCTCCAGAGGAAGCCATGAAGAATAAAAGCATGAATCTCTGCCAGATTAAATGGAGCATATTTATTGCCAAATTAAAAGCAGCGGGACTGACAGCTACTGCACTGTCCTTACAGAGATACCAAGTGTTTTTCCAGTAACTCAGGACTTCCTGAGGAGTCTTCTTAGGCATTTTATATCTTTTGCTGGAACTATAAAAGGGATCTGTTGCTCCATTTTATTCTCCAAGTGAATATTGCTGGTATGTGGAAATCTTTGGATTTTTTTTTCAAGTATAATGTCTGTAACACTCAGGAATTCTTAAAATTCTTAAATGTTTTTCTTTTGGATTTTCCAATAAAACATTCAAACCGTTTGCACATAATGACAGTGCTGTCTCTTCATTTACAACAGACAACTGTAACTGGTTAGGACCACTGGTTAAAAAGGGCTTTCCCAGTGGCTCACTAGCAAAGGACACACTTGCAGTGCAAGAGACACAGAGACAGGGGTTCGACCCCTGGGTCGGGAAGAGCCCCTGGAGGAGGAAATGGCAACACACTCCAGTATCCTTGCCTGGAAAATCCCATGGAGAGAGAAGCCTCGTGTGCTGCAGTCCAGGAAGTCGAAAAGAGTCGGACAGGACTCAGGGACTGAGCGAGTGTGCACGCACACGCACACACACACCAGTTAAAATACTGATTATTAGCAAGCTCTGAACACATACTTGTTTTATTCTAACAGAAAGGAAAACATTGGTTTTCATTCCAATCCCAAAGAAGGAAAATGCCAAAGAACGTTCAAACTACCACACAATTGCACGCATTTCACATACTAGCAAGGTAATGCTAAAAATTCTTCAAGCTAGGCTTCAATAGTATGTGAACTGAGAAATTCCAGATATTCAAGTTGGATTAAGAAAAGAGGAACCAGAGATCAAACTGACAACATCTGCTGGATCACAGAAAAAGCAAAGGAATTTCAGAAAAACATCTACTTCTGCTTCATTGACTATGCTAAAGCTTTTG